AAAAAAACTAATTGAATAAGTTCTTTACAAAGATTTACGACTTCGTAGTTAGTTGTATAACTTAATAAAGACATTTTACACGTTTACAAGTATCTGTAGTCTCTCAGTCTCGATGTTTAATGTTCTTTGTAATTATTATATCTTTTTGTTGTCTACCAGAATATTGGTAAGTATTTTCGAAGAGTAAATTATTGACTTGCATTACTGAAAATTACTTTCATTACAAAGGACCTTTTTGTTGATGAATGAAAAACATGTATAAATGTTTTGTTTACCATTAAATCGTTCCGTGTATAACAACATGTACATTTTTCCATTAAAAAGATAATAAAGTGCACTTATACTTACATATTATTTCACTGAAATAGTTAAGTGTAATTGTCAGTTTAAAACGCTGCATTTGTTATTTGATTCTTACAAAATGCAAGTCATTCACATGAACAAAACTACCTTGTGTGAATATTTTAGCTTAACCACATTATATTATTAAAGCAACTGAAATGCTTATTACAAATTTTATTCATATAATGGATGTAAATATGCAGTTTATAACTAAGAAATTTAGTTATTAAACTTTTATAATCAGAAAACGTTAGGATTAGATTTTCTCCTTCCGAAAGTGTACGGAAGCGCATTTAGGACACGACAGACTATATTTTTCTGCCTGGGCAGAATGTCAATCTGTCCATGCAGAATATCAATCAGCACAGGCAAATTAACAAGCTGCAAAGACGTAATACCATTCAGAAAGAATAACATAAATATGCCTGGGGTAGAATAATAAGAATTTGGCATAAGCTTTGATAATGATATATCACATGCGGATGTATAACTTTCCACCTTTACCCCAAAATAGTAGAAAGCTTAGACCAAATCCTTATCATCCTGTCCAGTAGATTGAATATTTTGATTGCGCACATTATGTATTTGCCCACGCAAAATGTTATTCTGTCTGGGCAGATTGTTATTTTGCCCGGGCAGAGTGTTATTTTGTACAGGCAAAGTAGAAGTATCTTTTATAGTGGCCTAAATGCGCTTCCGTAAAAGTGTATGATTCCCTTAATCGTAAACATTCTAATATAGAGAGACTGAAGAGGCAAAAAGTGTTCCTGGTAAAGAAGCATTCCATCAACGATATCACGAACCTGCCCAAGATAAATCAAGTAGCATCATACTGTGTGACAATATTGTTCATTGATGTCAACCTTCGCTTTCATTCAATATTGCGGGGGAATATTTCTGCGTAAGATAAAAGATAGATTTGGCAAAACGTCAGACCTGGGAAAAGATTGAATAATAAAATTCAGTTCCTCCAATGTACGTGATTAATTTTCATAAATGACGTCGTTATAAAGTTATGATGATTTTAATAAAATACCACACACGTGCAACCATATGTTGATCAGTAAACCATGTACATGTTCAAAGTAAAACTGATAACTTGATAGTCCTGACTATAAAAATATTTCTTAGGTATAAAATATTAATTTTGATGGTTTTAAGTTAAAATCACATCATTTTATGCATATCTTATTATGTAATTAATCTGAATATTCATTATGGTTCATTTAAATAGCAATTATCATAATATTTATAGAATACTTAAAATTTATCGCATTTATCTTTAAATGATTAATGTTTTTTCCTGAAAAAAATACCGTCACTGAAGCATAGTAGTTAATATTATTAATTGGTTCAAGGCCCTTTTCCAAATAAATATGCAACTGTGTAGCTAAGCACAGGCACGATGTATTTGTCTATCGACGATCACATTTTCATATGACATAAGACAGACAACTCTACAAAACAGACGACAAAAGTGGTGAGTGAAGTAGACAATTACAAAATATAATTAAGTCACAAATGAGTTTTATTGTGACCTGTGAAACCAAATTAATTGTTCGAACGTACAGAGCAAGACGTCATACAACCACGTGGTCACTTAAACCAGCTGACGATGAAACATAAAGGAGGCGATATGCCTGATTTGAAAATATCAAAGGAGAACAAAGACACTTCACTGATTACCGTTTCCTGTGGTTAAAACAATTACAACACGAAAACGGAAAAAATCATTAATACTAGATAGATGGAAACGATACATATCGCGAACGCAATTGTCAGAAGATAGTTTTCACAGGTTGTGATCACAACGATTACTTGTGTTGTTGGATGTTATAGGTATACCGTCGGTCCTAGGCGAGATCGTGCAATGTTAATCGGGGTCTTAAGCTATCATTTTTTCAGAATATTGAATGTAAATTGTTGTATGATGGCATGCATTGTAATTTTCTGTCCTGGTGGACATACAACGATTTGTACATGTGAAACTTCGTCCATCTCGCACACTATTGAAACACGTCCTTATCGAAGGCTCTTTAAGTACTATCTGGCAGATGATAGGATTAGACACGTCTGGAAACGTTTTAGGGAATCCGCAAATTTGTGATCTCTTAAATACCAGATTAAAAGAATCCCACAGCAGCAACATATCGAAATTAGCTGTAAGATTAGGGTGAAGTCTGTATATACATGTATGTTATTAGCAAATGGCGTTAGATACTTAACGATTCGTCCGATATTTTATGTCTGTAACCAAGTCAATGAGTACCCGTAAGTCTTCGATATTTCTAATCTGACACACTCAGGTGATGCATACAAAATATGCAGCGTAAGCAGAATTCAATGTCGCCATGTGTGACTAAGACGGTCCGTCCATCAGGTTTCATTTGGCTAATCAATTTCACTGGAGTTGTTCTTGTTTTGAAATAGTGATTAAGCTAGCGCTCAAGCAATGTTGGCTTCTATGGCGATCACGATCAGTTGATATATTTCACTATTATCATTATTCCATTGAAAGTCTGTGATATACAGTATTAAGGTACGCCTGAAGTAGCAATAACCTGGCCTGAAAGCAAGACAACACAAAGTTAATTATAAAAAGTAATTCACTCATTTAAGTCAATGACTGAACAATTGTTAAGCAGGCACTAATTACTTCTTTAGAATGTAACCGGGCGAACTGTGATCCTGGAATAGCCGGTTTGTTAAATAACCAACGAACTTTTCTAACAATCTTTATGAGATCTAGAGTTGTCGTTCTTTACAGTCATAATACGTATGGTACCGAATACACTCTATATAAAGTACTGTACTACGTGGATACTTGTCCTGTACATAAGCTTCATATAGCCACTTGATCACTTCCTATTTCAACAAGATCTTTTCACGATCCTCTTTGACGTAATGTAGTTAGACGACAAGTGTATGGAGGACTAACATGTCGTACAATTGTAAAGGGAATGGAAATTTTCGAGAGTGGTGTCCCTTTATGCTGACAAAGAATTTCTGTATTTCTATACCTATTGTTCAAAATATAAGTCAATTGTTTGTGTAAGATCGTATTTTATGTATCAAGAATGTGTGGCATAGGTAGTTTGAAAGTATTTGTGTAATTTAGAAGTCTTGTAAGTAATAGTATTTGGGTTGTATGTGTTGTGAAAATGATTTTGTACCAATCTAGATCTATAAGTAATATCTTTGTTTTGAATGTGTGATTGCACATATAGGACAAAGCACTAACAGTTGTGGAGGAGTTGAGGAAGTTGGGGAACTATAAAGAAGACATAAGCTGGTATTTCCCCATCTTATATTTTGGTATTCCCTAGCTATTCAGTTGTAGTTTTGATTGGTGTTAGCTGTTTTTACTTTGTGTTACCAGAAGTTGTATTGAGTAAAGAGTAGGATTTGTGTGTCTACAGCGTTGTGTATGTCTGTCTTTTAATGCATCGAACCTGGGTTGTTCTTGGTTGGTTTATAAACACGACAAAATAGAAACGTTACACGATATTAAACAGGCTAGGACGGTCCTGTGACACAGTTAGATGTCGCCCAGACGACAGGGGTTCGACTCTCCTATCTGGTGTGATTGACTAGAATTTATAAATGTGGCCCTGGTAGAACACTAGCTGCAAAAGAAAACATCTTTTTAGCTTGATCGGTTGAGCGTCAGAACAGTGACCCAAAGGTAGCGGAGGTATTTTAATAAGAATGCCAAAGATGTGAGGGGTTCTGTTCCATTGGCGCCCATGTAGGGACTCTGGAATAAGAATAGCCAGAGATTATGGCAAGCCATCTCATAATTTGTAAAGTGGCAATGTCGATCCATCTTTTATTATTCAATTAATAAATATGAGATGCCTTATTGAAATATATCTTAAATTGCAACAGTTGCCATACAGGATATTCCATACACTATATAAAATACCCCATATAATTTGGTAAGACATTGGATCGACATTGCACATAGGCCTAGAGTAAATTTTAAGTTGGCTTGTCATAAGATATCCTGGGTTCGAATCCTAGCGGGGGCACTGGAATGAATACATTGTAATGACTTCTCTTTCATGATAAACTCGTCGAACTTCACTGAACCAAAATCGCGACTGTAAGGAAAATGGACATTCTCATGCATTCGATCAGAGACGTATATATCACATGTGTTGTATACGTCTCTGATTCGATGCATGATCTAATTTTTGAAATAGACAGATGAATATTGAAAATCGCCGTGGCCAGTTTTAAATAAAATTTTAGTAAAATAACATTAGGCTGTTTGTTCAAGTTCTGTATTCAAACGGAAATCATGATGGAAATGGAAAACAAAGCATATATATCGAAGGTTGCAGGACTACCCGTATGATTTTAAAAATGCAAAATGACAGGTTAGGCCTAATACGTTGAACTGGATAAATCTAATTACTTAGATAAATAAATATCCCAGACAAACTGTAAAATGTTGATAGCTATATCAATTGAATAGTAAATATGTCCTAACTGTTTCTATTACAGTGCAAACTTTCAAAATGCAAGTTTGATTCATGGTCGGTTTGAAGACCTTGGACTTTCAAACTGACATATTTCCCCGCCGATTAAATATTACCGGAAGTTGGTATTGCGCATGCGTGGCTTCCTACCTTGACCTTGAAAAAAGACAACACGAAAACCTAGCCAACAATGTTGTGTAGACGTCCACTTCGCAATTTTATAGCGACAGCTGCCAAACACTGGTCGCAACAGAATGGTGTAGTCACGAGACGAGATTTATCAGGTGATAGTGCTCACATGCGGATTTTTATTCAGTTATTCCTACTGCAATAGTGCATGCATGGTTCCTAGAGTAACTGCCGATAGTAACTTGCACGCTAGCACAATGATCAGTAGCTATAGTCTGATAGAGAACCTTTGCCCTAAACTGAGTAAACATCGTCAGGGGCATGCATATATAGGTTGCTATCGATTTCACACTATTTGCATTGTAATATGTCAGCGTTACCTAACTTTGCACTCATCTAATTGTAATACCAACAACATTTTAAAGGCATTGCCTTGGCGGTGATAGACCACTGCACTGAACTTAAATAATGATTGTATGAGACTCGAGAAATTTTTAGATATGCATTTTCCCATATTGCAGAGACCATTGTTTAAATGAATGAAGTTGAAAAGGACTTTAGAAAAAAAACAATGCGTTCTGTTTTAGGCCTAAACGAGCATGTGGTCGGTGACAAATACCCTGCATGCTATTGTGAAATTGTGTTTTCATTCTGAACACGGGTCATTTTTAACGAAACTGGTCTGAAGGACCAGTGAACTGATGCCATGGCACTGCTTCCATCATCCTGCATCCATCAACATTTTACTAAAATTTGCTACTAGTCCTGGAACAATGGGACAGATTATGACCAAATTTGGTAAGAAGCATCCTTAAGGTAAAGGAACCAAATTTGTGTAAATATTGGTTCTTGACCTGTGGAGCAGGGCCAGAGAAGGAAAGTTTTTTAAGTTCTCTAAAATCCTTCTCCCTCTGTACGAATTGATGAATATTACCCAAATTTGCTCAGAAGCATTCTTTGGTGAAGGGGTTCTGTATACATGGCAGACCCTGTCACCCATGGGCAGGAGGGGTGAAGTCCAAATGGGGAAATGAAGGTTCTCAGAAATCCTGCTGTACAAGGATGTTGTCTGAGTTTGATCTGAAGCAATTTTTATGAATAGTGAATCTGATTTCTGTTTTACCACAAGGCCGGAACTCAACAGGGAATTTTTGAAATTCCTTTTAAGTTAGTTGAGCAATGCAGGCCGCTGGGACTCTTAGTTATAGTTATTACCCACGGTATTACATACTCTTGACAACATCAGACTGGTGGTGTATTTTCAGCACCTGCAAATAGTCAAGACTATAACTGATAAGAAATTTAAAATTCATGCATATTAGTTAAAATGTGTTTTTCTCTGGAGTCACTGAAAAGGCATATATTTTGCTGAAGGACCACAGTGTTAATTGTAAACAGTTTAAAGTAAGATAGCTCAAAGTATTCTGACTTAACTCACCTGAATATTGCTCCAATATAAAACATAGCTTGTTGCTGTTATAAGCTGAATACTTGTCAATGACTGAGATTAGTGTTGTATAGGAGAGACATGTCATCAACATTTCCAGCCTTTTTAGAGTCACACACAGTAGTTGTTAAGCTTTTTTGGTGGTAGGTTAAATACTACCAGTGTAATGACAGATATCAACAGAATTCGGAATCTATGTAGTCCATCAAAATATAAATATTTACAATGTCAATGTGATGTCAATCTTCCATCATGATATTCAATCATCTTATTCACAAAGTCCAGAAAGACTAATTATAGACAGTCGGAACCCTTTGGAATACAAATAAGGATGCAGTCCAACCAGTATGGGTGGGCCAAAACCTTTCTTTCAAACGATGCAGGCCTGAACCAGGGAAAAAATTCCTTAGGAGCTGGGGCTCCCCTCAGAAAATTTTCAAAATCCCTGATATCAGGAAATGGCTTTACAGTACTTTAGAATAACAAATTTAGGGCAACCTAGTGCAAAGTGATAAAATTACAACATCTATATGCAATCATACATACATTATAGAGAAAAGTATGATATAGCAATGCAAATCATGAGGCTGAATATTCATATATATTTGATATATTTAACTTTTCGATAATATTAATTTCTGCTTATGTTTCATGTGATGCGTCTTGGTGAACAGTCAGTACAAGATGTATGGTAAGTCTCTTCAGATCAACAATAAGAGAACTGTTAACACAGCCTGATAAACATCTCATATTTTAGCCCAAATTGAAATATCGAAAACTGAAAATGTTTGGTGGAATATGTATACCATGGCTAGTACTTAGCTGGGTTGCATACCTGGTATTTATAAGAACAGGAAGGATCAATATTATCTGTGGTATAAAAAATATTGTAGATTTTGTATTTATACTTACAGAGTGACACAGTTGGGTTCATAGGATTGGGAAACATGGGGAACCACATGGCAAAAAACTTGATAAATAAAGGTCACAAGCTGTTGGTGTTTGATGTATCCCAGACTGCCACAGATGGACTCCGCACAGCAGGTAAAAGTGATTGCTGGACATGATCTGTAACTTGGCAAAAATCCTCACTGGGTACCAGTGATTATTCTATAGTCTCTCATTGTTGTAGGTGCAACTATGAGTAATATCACTTACAAATATTGATATATTGTCAAAATAAGACAGACAAAACCAATTTCAAGTTTTTTTTGTAAATAATTTTTATTCGTTTGAAATGTCAAAAAAATTCACCATCATTCTGGCAAGTTTTAAGTAATGAACTGTTTTATGATAAGGCACTTATTTCAATATAAATGACAAAAATCACAATGTGTTCTGTCATATTATGGTTGTTTAATTGCTAAACTGTCATTTTTCACAGCCATAATTGCCATATGACTGTTCAGTGGTTATATTTTTCATAATCTGTTTTTCCTTATATATGTTGTTATCGTGTTATACCAATCATAAGTTTTAAAGACGAAATCTGTCAAGTGGAACAGTCATCCATCCACACATTAATGATATTGTAATGCTAAATAAATGGATGCCATTAATCCTACAACTTAAAACATGCTGCTTTGTGGTTATTTTATACAATTTTTTGAACAACAATTTTCATTTTCAATTTAAAAATTTACACACCATTATCAGGTTTCCACTGAACGGAGGTCTTCCTATATTGCTGTATATTACTTCCATAATTTTTTGTGTCAGGTGCTGTTGTGGCTAGTTGTCCAGCAGAAGTTGCAGCTGGGGCAAAAAGTATTGTCACCATGTTGCCTGAGTCACAGCATGTAGATGCTGTCTATTGTGGTGAAAAAGGCATCTTCAGGTACAAATGTTGACCATCAAAAAATACCTTTGTTGGAAAATTGTAAATTTTTCATGCTTATGCTTATAAAAACGCATTATGATTTTTATTGTTTCATACCTATAATTTTTTTTTCCATTTTTTGTGATTTCTGTAGTTTAACAAGAAATCTGGATGATTGAAAATCAATTAGTGTTCTTGGAATAAACCTTTTTAACCGAACTAAATCTATCATATTGTGAATTTTAATTATTTTTGTAATGACATTTTCTTCAATACTTAAAAATGACTATAAAAGCATCAATTGATGTGATTATCTCATCTTTGCGTTTGTGAATCACTATGAAAAACTCTATGTATATATAAAAATGGTCATGTACTTTTGATCGTGCATTTTGTCATGGCAATGTAACATAGTCTATTTTGAACTTACAAGAAGTGTCACCAAGTACGTGTTGTACTAAAAATGCACTTATTTCATGTATGTGAGGTAGGAGCAAGGACAGTCATTGCGTTTAAACTTGCCTACCTGATTGAAAGGGTGTTTGATGTGAAGAATTTGTTTTTAGTGAAGTTTCCTGTGTGACCCTCATGTTTTTGTGATAATTTCAGTCAGGTGCAGGATGGAAGTCTTCTGATTGATAGCAGTACCATAGATCCAGCCACTTCCCAGGGCATGGCACTGGCTGCCAAGGGACATAACTGTGTGTACGTGGACGCTCCTGTATCAGGAGGTATGTTGAGTACACTTGTCAAGCCTGATTGATCTCAAAAGACAAAAAAAATGTTTCCTGTTTTTTGAAATTCAAGTTAGTTTATATGACCAGGTATTCCCACTTTATACATTTTTTATCGCTTGTGTCTTGCAATAACAAGTGTCTCATCAAGAGAAAATAGTTTCGCATGTAGACATTTAAGTTTTTACAGGTTTAAATAAGAAAAAAATTGAAAAAGAAAATGCAAAAACTTTGAATCCTGAAATGTATATTGAGGATATTTAATGGTTTTCAGTTTATTACCATGAATTTTCTAATTTTTTGCTATGTGAAGCACGGGTGGAAAATACAAACATATTCTGTCATGTGAGTGAAATATATTTGATATTCAATAGGAAACCATACAGTGATTTTGAAAAATATGAGCAAGTTCTTGGATATCATTTGGCAGTACGCTAACAACAGAATGATGCTATTTTTAATTGGCCTCTTTATGTGGTATGCAGTGGCATCATAAGCATTTATCATGTTGATATAATTTTATGTTTCACTGACAAAAATGTAATATTTGTTATATTGCAAATGATTCATATGCCAAGCTTTTCTGTAATATTTACATAAAAATAAATAATGCATCATTTATGTCATAGGTTAGCTGTCAAAGAAGATTTTTATCCTGTCATTTTTTTTAAACATCTTAATAATTTGACTGATTTTAATTATGGAAAGGGGTGAATGCTGCCAGAGATTCTGTTTTGACCTTCATGGTGGGCAGCCCTGATGAATCTTTCGAAAGAGTTAAGGCTTTACTGGACTGTATGGGTAAAAATGTTGTCCATTGTGGAGCAGTTGGAACAGGTCAGGTGAGTGATCATATTACATTGATAAATTCAAAATTCATAATCGTTTTCATTCAATTCGAAAAATTACAAAATAATCTAATGTGTTCTTGCTTTTATGTCTATCATGGCAAACCTGAAAATTACAATTTAGGGAAATTATTTTAGTGCCTTCACTCAAGTGATTTCTTCCCAGCAGATTTTGATGAATATTTAAGCAATGGTGTAAAAAATCATTACACAATTTTGTTTTAGAGAATATCGTGCAATGAATGTAAAGAAAGCATTAGATTTGTTCTCTCTCCCATATAAATATACATGTATATGTATGTGTAATTTTTTTCCTTTTTACTATTGAATAAGATATTGTTTAAACCAAAGCTAAGCAATGATGTTTAATTGAGTATATTGAGGATAATACATGTAAATTTAATGTTAATTTTATAGATTTGTATATTTAATTATTCTTTTTATTTTGTCTTTCTTGTGCAGGCAGCAAAAATATGTAACAACATGTTGTTAGCAATTTCCATGATTGGAGTGTCGGAGACGATGAATCTAGGAACCAGGTAGGTATATTCTGTGTTGGCGACAGAGTATCTATGTGAAAAAAAAAATCACTATTTGTTGAGTATGGTTATGGCAATAGCAGTGTGCAGGGAGGCACCAGTCTATCTGTATTTTTATTATCACTGAATATTCATTATATAGGCTAAAAAAACATATCATGCTGTCAGTGAAGTACACTAGTAAGGTACACTTTGATGTGTTTCAAGTTTATGTGATAGGTGTTCTTGATGTTTAAGTCAGTTGGAAAAAAGTAGAAAAGGGGCTGTAATTCTAAGCACAAGGGATAGACATGTATGTAGTGACAAGCTCTTTTATGCACAGCCAAACCTTTAATTTACTTGTCAGAGCTATATTCAATACTGAGGACTTTTCCAAGAATATACTTAAACATTTGATGAAAAAGTCAAACTATTGATTTGTCAAGTATGCAATGGTGATCCTGTATATAGCTTTCTAAAGGGGCCATTCCTTTGGCACCTTTGACTACTTCTCTTGAATTTAAACAATGAGTATTTTTACAATGTTGCTTCTCAAGTCTGCAGAAGTCCAAGCTTAATGGAGTGTAAGGTAATGGAGAGTTGCTCCCCTTGTGCTATTTGTAAACACTTTATTTTTTATGATATTCCTTATATTTCTATAACACAAACTTATTCACTGATGACGACTTCATGACATAGCCAACTTGCTTGTATTTCAGATAGAGAATCAGTCAGTTCATGTTAAAAATATTACATAAAAGTTAGGGACATTATTAAAAAAATCATTTGATTAATGCGAAGTATCCCTTAGTAACAGTTGTACTCATCCACTAATTTTTTTGCAGCAGCAAACTGCATTATTTTTTATAAGCAAGAGATCATATTCTGTTGACCTTTGACTTTCAGCCAACATGTTTACTACCATAATGGTGCTGGATTTGGAACTAGTATTTAGTTTTACTTACATATGTTATTGTGATTTTATTATCAAATAGATTATGAAAGTAAAACTACAGAAATGTGCCTGCCGGATTGTTTTCAAATGACTATGGAGTATGCTATTAGATATTTCTATGAGAGAAAAATATTGGAAAGTCAAAATAATGAAGAAAGTCCATTTGTTTAAGTGACTTTTATGTAGGAAAGGAATATGCATGACCTGGTTTGGATTATTACTAAAGTATATTAACGTTTAAACTGTATTCTATCTATTGATACCTTGTTTTTTTTGTTTGATTGAAATCTTATTAGTGCCAAGGTTTTTGAATAACTGTGACATCTTTTGAATTTAAGACTTGGTCTGGATCCTAAGATGCTTGCCAAGATTTTGAACATGAGCTCCGGTCGCTGTTGGTCCTGCGATACGTACAACCCCTATCCTGGTGTACTAGAGGGAGTGCCTTCCAGCAACAACTACCAGGGAGGTTTTGGTACCGCACTTATGGCAAAGGTATTTCAAAGCCTCCTTATTCTAAATTACTAAGATTTTTGTCGGAAAATCAAGAAAACTCTGTGATAGCTGAAAGTTTCATGGTTTTGCTGCTCAGATGAATTATTGTGAACTGTGGAAGGTCTGGAATGAACAGATGGCTTGAACAAAACAATTTGAGAATGAACAGGTTGTTTAAAAAGACATTGAATATAGACTGATTTAAGATTTTGTAAGGTTGACATTTTGTGATAACAGATATATATTTTGTCAGCTTTCCAATACCTTGGCATGTCAAATGGTGTCAAAGAATCTCACACTTTCATGCAAAAGCTTCCATCTGTTACTTTTTGTTTAATGTATAGATAATGAAAGTATTGTATCTGGTGGTTAGGTGGCACTGTAATAACACTTGTCTTTTGCTGAGATTTCCCCTGTTCAATTCCTGGAATGGAAGTGAAAAGATGGGGTCGTCTTCCTGACACATGGGTTTTCTATTGGTTAATATTAATATCAGTTGGAAAGACTTGTTTCATAATTGTTGTAAAATAAATAAAGTTTCATCTATCAGTATCTTATTTAGGGGTAATGAATCAAAATATTTTTTCATAACAGGATTTAGGATTGGCACAAAGTGCAGCTACAGGGACAAAATCTGCCATACCTTTGGGGAGCCTTTCACATCAGATTTACAGAACCATGACTAACAGTGGATATGCTAAGAAAGACTTTTCTTCGGCATTCAAGTTCCTGCAAGGCGAGGAGCAGAGTTGATACCCATGCTGATAAAATTCATATATATGGGATCATGTCAAGTTAGGACTGTGTGTTAATTGTTCAACAAATTAGTTGCTGGCGATGACTGATCAAAACAATCTGTGTGACTTCTGAGCTGTCTGTTACCCTATATGCATATTGTTCTATGAGATTTTAAGGGAAAATATTTCAATGTTTTAAAACTTTTTTAAAAGATTTTTTGTCATTGTTCAGTATTTTCAAGACAAATGGATTGGTTTAATGCCAAAATTATATAGATATTGTATGAAATTTTCATATTTATGAATTATGAATCATGTTTATAAAGACAAATCAAACTTTCCAGCATTCGATATTTTCACATATTTGAAAATTTTACAATAGATATATAATTTTTTCCTTACATTTATAATACATATATATCGTTCATACAAAGAGAGAACAGAATGTTAAAGGGAAATGAATGAATATTAACCAGTTTGTAAGTGCAGTTTTATTCTTGTGTGATTGTATTCAGACGATTAATTGTTTTATATGTAATGTAAGGCGTGTTTTGATCTAACGACTGTGATGATTTGTGATATACATCAGGTGTATTTTAGCTTTTAACCTAGGTCAGTGTGCATTTTTTGGGGTCTGAGAAATATAATTCGAAGTTTATTTGTGCTTAACACATTCTGAGGCATTTTTATAATTATGGATGTGCATTGAATTCAAATTTTGAAACAGTTGTATTTCATTACATTTGTGCAAGTGTTTGAAAAATACTGTTTGTGTTGCAATACTTTGGAAAATGCTCTTTAAGTTATAGTGCACTTGTTCATTTTGTGCAGTCTTATACATACCTGTGAAAAGAATTTTTGAATTGAATCGTAAAATGAATTTTATGTTAGCTACCGATATGTACAATATTTATTAGACAGTAAACATATCATTGTCAAATATTGATGTAGTTTTTGCTCAGTATAAAATGTTCATACATTCGATGACTAGTTGATTTGATGGAGATATGAAAAAACAAATGGCAACTCTAAATTACATATTGAGATTTCTGTTTATGTATACAACTTTATTCTCAGGTATATATCTGAATCTTGATAGCTTGGAGGTAGTTTCAAGTTTTTGGATTTATTTTTCATGTGTACTGTGATATGTATACATTACAAAGATTCTGATATTGCTTTCAAGAAGGTGTAAAGATCCTATCTATCTCTGGGTTCTGCATAATTTCTATAATTTTCTTTCATCAGAGATAGAGCTTCAGTTAACATTCCAATCCTGTTTTTGCATTCAATTGTTTAATATTGTCACTGTATTTAAGTTCACCGATCTTTAAAGCCTCAACAACCCGGTACTTTTGTTTCCACCTTTACCTGACCACTTATATACTTCAGATAAAGAAAGATACTTGTCGAATTCAACATTGATTCTGATACCATTAGTTAGGATTTATTCTGATTTTTTAAATATCTTTGAGCTTTTGTGAAACACTTCATATGATCAAATTTTTTCAGATTTACGGACATATCTAGTAAAGTTCTTTTCAAAAGTGTTTTTCTGAACAAAGCAAGAACAAAAAGTGACAATCGTAGCATGCTTTCCAACCTTTATTTTCCTCAACAATTTGTTTGTATTAAAATGTTTCAAAGGAGATAGAAATATAAATGCATACCTGGTAACTAGTATTTTAGTATTATTTTTATACCCTCAGTCATGAACTCATGGGTTATACTGGAATCAGCTCATCAGTCTGTCCATTTATTTGTCTGTAGACAAAAATTGTCTATGCATTCACTCATTTTTCAATGGACTTTTTTGTTTGAAAACCTAGGAGTTGTGCCCCCTGAAGTGAAGTGGCCAAAATTTTCTCCCGCTTTGGATTCACCATTTAGTGTTAAGTGCCTGTGCCACATGGGGTTGTGCCCCCTGGAGTGATTTTTATATCCATTTACTAAACAGTGTTCATTTTTAAATGGATTTCTCTTCATTATTAATAGTTTACAGAGCATTATGGTGTGTAATATCTGTTCTGTAGATTTGCACATGGTACCTACCTGTACTTTACTGAGCTATGCCCTTATAGGTGAATGGTAAAATAAAAATGTGTCCGCTAATTTTACAGTTGTGCACTAAGTGTTGTTTAAATAATAACTTGGCAAAGTGAGGGGTGTACTTGTCACCCCTTTGGTGACAGCTGTAGTTATATCTCAATAATGCCAGGTTGCTCTTTTGTTATCAAGTTTGCAACTGGATAACTTTTCTCAATTGTTGGTCATCTGAACACAGGTTGCCAAGTGACATTTTGAAGCATGTGCTACCCATCAAATGCTAATCTATGGTACTTCCTTGGATGGGATAAGTTTCATTGAGCTAATTGGTATTATTTTTTGCTACAAGTACCTGACTGAATGTGTTGACTAGTGGTTTTGTATGGGAATACCAAAGATCAAGTTCACTGTCAGTTAAATGGAAGAAGACCTGCCCTAAGGGGATGGGGTGGAGGGGACCTTTCACATGCAATGCAAGTCTTGGTTAATCTACATAAATAATGTCCTGTTCCGAAATGAAAAATGTAATAGAATTAACAAAACAACCAGACATACTAAGGAGCACATACCATATTTCTCACAGAGATGTTTATATAACGATCTCATACTACAATCTACATCTTTCAAAACCCTGTATTATGAGTTTTTCTGTCAGCTGTGGACATCTGACATTTAGAAGGGAGGGGGGGGGGGAAAGAGGGGTGAAGCAGAGGAAATGGTGGTCGGATTGTGCTGTGGTAATTAACTTACATTTCACCAAAAGCTGAATCGGCTTCAGTCCCTGAAAATGGACATGAAAAGGTATAAAGTCACTTACCTGTCCTTGGTTACTTCTGTATTCCTGTTTCCTTCAACTAATGACTCCTTTTGTGCTTCAACCCAGACCAACAAGAATGATAAATATAAGTTATTACCTTGTTTCACAATTTTTACCCCACTTGGTCCAAATGAAAGCAAGCTCATACCATTGCACATTATTTGTCCGACTTCCATCAACTTTACAAAGTCACTGAAAGTCCTAACCAGCAGAACGGATTTGGATCTGGTTAAAAGCATCCTTAGGCGAAGAGGAACCGAGTGTGTATAAACAGTAGGTCTCGGCCTCTGAGGGTAAGAAGGGTGGGGCTAAATACGAGAAAGAGAGCATTTTTTCAAATGTTTCTGTATGAATGCCAGAATACTGTCCGAATTTAGACCCTGGCATCCTTATGTGAAGAAAATCAGTTTTGTATAAATGTGGGTTCTTGGTCCTGGTGACAGGAGGGGCAGGGCCAAATATTGAAAAAAGCGGAGAAAAAAAACCTTAAAAATCATTCTTTTCTTGGATTTTCACCGGATAAGGTTTGAAGCATAATTGATTTAAGAGAATTTTTTTTTTACTAACAGGTCGTGTCGACCTCAAGGGACCAGAGTGTCTGGTCAACATAGTAAAAATAAAGCAGATTGTTATAACTCCTTCTGTTGAAATGTAAGATAATCCTTGGATGAAAGGAAATAAACTTTGTATAAACAGTGGATCATGGTCAGGAAAAAGGAATGGGCGGGGACCAATATGGGAAAAAGGCCAAAGTTTTTAAAAAGTTTCCTTTTTTTATATCCAGATTTTGTCCCAATTTGTTCTGAGACATGTTTATGTGATGAAATTCAATTTTGTATAAAGGGTTTTTCTTGACAAAATTTGGTCTAGAGCAGCCTTGGATGACAGAAATTTGTTTTGTGTAAACAGTGGGTCAGGGCGCAATGGAGTGGGAGGGGCAGGGCCCAAAATAGCAAATGGAGCAAATTTGTTCTAATCCTTATTCTCCAAGAATGCCAGGATTATCCCAGCTCAGTCTAAAGGTCTGTGGAAGAAGAGGAATCAGTTTTGTAGAAAATGGTTGGTGTCGGTCCCCTGGAGCGGCATTGGCACGGCCTTATAGAGGATATAGCTAAATGGTAAATTCTTTAAAATTCCTCTGCTATAGCAATCAGTTCTTTTTTCTAAATTTGGTAGGGACAGCGTTCAATGGAGAAAAAATTCCAAATCTTCCGAGTTCCTTTGCTGTAGTTCGGATAACAGCAAATCGAACGCGGACGCTCATATTCCAACCTCTTGCAACCCATTAGCTTCAAAATGTTCATTTTCGCCCATACTTGGCATTTTCCTGGTAAAATTCTTTCCGGAAAAACAATTATCTTCTGTTATAGTGCATTCGGTACTACCGATAAACACCAAATTTTTTACAATTCAGGTAGAATGCATCGCCATGGTGCGAAACTCGGAGAGAGAGAAAAACATGATCTAACTGGAGATGTGTTACGGAAGCAAAATTTTAAGTTTATGCTAATCGGGCACGCTTTGAATACTTTAAAAAAAAGGATTTTGAAATTATTAATGAGAGAAATACTTTCATTTACTGAATTTTTAGAGCGGCTATTACCTTAGATTTCAACATCGGTAAATTGAGAATTCGGCTTATGAATAATAAAATATATCCATAATAAAGTTTTACTCTTTCTGGCACTTTCTGTAAGGTAACGTTTAGGTCCCCGTCGCTTTTTCGTATTTGCGTCCGCCATATTGCTTCTTTCGAGGCTTATATGCATGCGCAGCATCAGGGTTACGAGAGGTAATGTATGGATTAGATCAAGACCGCAATGTTTACGTTCTTTATTTTTAGATATCAATAAAAAAAAAAGTGGTTGCAGTGACTTTTAATGTTAGTAATTAACAGAAAGTCTTAGTTTTGTAACATACTATTGGAAAATAGTAGTGTTTTTTAACATTATAGTCGCTTTAAGTATACCCAATTTCTTTTACTCGTAGTGTTTTTTAACATTATAATCGATTTAAGTATATACAATTTCTTTTTCTCATTTGTATATTGATTATTAGAATGCCAGTAAACGGTGGTTGTTTTGATCAGGGACGGATAAGAAACTACACTCCAGGTTATTTCTCTGTCGTAAGCTACTGAACCGTGAAGTCATCAACTGATGTATCAGCTGGCATGGCTGCTTACTTGTCGACAAAGCAAGTCCTTGGTGTTACGATTGAAGGACGAAACCGATAACGAAGACATTGCTGTAGAATTAGACCTCTGCACGAATTGATGAAAACTCGTAGTCCCAGGTCGATGTTATGTTGAAGTCATAAATGAAATACAGTCTTTTGGCTACACCTGGTTTTGAGATAGGAGTGTAAAACGCGTTTTACGAAATCCTTTCGTGTAATGTGAATGAATTGGGTTCTGTCCTTCTTGCAAGAAAATCGTGATAATGGGAACAGGCCCTTGAATATCGAATCAACTGTGACATGTAAACACCAATGGTTTGGAAGGCAGGATTGTTGCTATCAAGGAATGTAAAATGTACAATAGGTGAATTGAAATCATCATGTTTATCATATAGCTGTGTGGAAGGCTTTCCAGGTTTGTTTCGTTGTAGAAAAATATGGAGATAAACGGCCGATGTAGAAGAGCATCGTGTCCTTGACCTCCAATTCTGGTCGGTATATACGTCGGACGTGGTCAAAGAATTTCTTGTCGTAACACTTATTTCAAGTTTAAAGACTGAAAATATAAATTGGACTAAACCATGACTAGTCATTCATATATATGATCAATGAAGTAATAGCAATAGTAGGGACAAGCGAATTGTCACATTATCGAGGCAACCTGCTCCTCAAGACACAAATATTACATTAATTACATCATATACATAGAACATTAAAAAAAACAATAGGGGTAATTATGGTTGTTACGGTGGACCATTGGAGAACTAAACAAAAATAGTAGGTCCAACACTGGCACAAACAAAACGGAAAGAAACAAAGTAGACAGAAAAAACAGACGAACAATAAATTAGATATGCAAGATTATATATATATACTTACCAATGACTTACAATGCATAGTTAGACTTTATTCAATACAATGGAGTTTGTGTGTTTCAGCAGAAGCGTCCGATACCGGACAAACATCTACTACTACATTCAGACATTTTGTTTTAGAATCAAAATTCTAGGTACGTTGAATTTACCGCACAAGAAAAAGTCTTATTACAATACATCATGTCTCATATATATATTATATATATAAGATTTATTGATAAAATGTATTGAAATAGCAAAGAGATCATTTCTATTTTTAGCGGTATCCTCTACAACGATATGATTGGTCTACAGATATAGAAGCAGGCGTTGAGCTATATTTAGAATTCCTAACTAGTACATATTGCGGTGTTGTCCGGCCTCTGTAAACATTTTCCAATACATCGGAACCGTATGTGTCGAAGAGATCTGGAGTAAACAGGTAACGTCTGATCATCAGTATCGTATTTATTTGTTCCCAATCATGATTTCTATTTGTTTTTATATGTAGTTATCATCCTACACCTTTTTTATATAAAAGAATATATTTCATTCATTCTACATGAACATGCAAGACAGCGAACATTCATGTATTTTCTTAACGAATTAATCATTATATTGTAATATATATGCCGTAGAAGAGACAAAGAAATGTACATGTATGTATTGGGTGAACATGAAATATTCTATGTTAATTTATTCCGCAAGTAATTAACTTCTGTATGAATCAGTTGTAAACACTACGATCTGCAGACAGTGACGTAGTTTGTTTTTACACCATACTAGACTTACACAAGTTTTTCTGATCAGAAATGTCATGTTGCTCAAGAAGAAGTGTCAGAATTATTGACTAGCACACATGCACGGAAACTACATCTACATGACTTTAATCGGAGAGATTTCTTACTTGATTTAAGCAATACAATAAAGAAAATATATGCTATTAAAAACAGCATAGTTGATTCGTATTCAAAACTGATGAATCTGGAGCAAAGTATGAACCTAAGGAAAGATTTACAAGGAGGCAGTACATGTGGAATAGGATCAGGTGTTCCAGGAAAGTAAACGCTTTCCGGTTTTTATAAAATCGTGATAAAAGGCACTTCAGTTTTTATGTGTATACTTTTTACAAAGAAGAAAGTATTGATATAAAAACAATATTTGAAAAGTAATAATGTATGGAAAGCATATTACCCAGGCTAACAAAACTAATTGTAAGTATCTTCTATATCACAGGAACAATGCAAAACCTAAAGTTGGTAACTGTTGGAGATGGTGCGGTTGGTAAGAGCTGCCTTTTGATCTCTTACGCAACCAATTCTTTCCCGGCTGAGTACGTACCAACAGTGTTTGACAACCACTCGGCCAACGTTATGGTGGACGGAAAGCCTGTCTGTGTAGGTCTGTGGGACACAGCGGGACAGGTACGTATAAACACTGTCTAATCTGTCCGTTAGAATGAAAATCAAGTTCAGCGTTTAATCGAAATATATCAAAGGAAGTTAGCATGTCAGCATTTATTTGAAAAGAAAATGATTTTTTCCAACAGATGTTACGTTTAGGATTATGTTCACACATAGTTACTCTGCTGTTGATGTTTGCGTTTTCATACATTTTCATACATCAGATTGTCATGGTTTTATCAAATTAAAGTTAAAACCAAAACAAAAGATGTATTTGTGATAGAAATGGTGAAACAGGTCATGCCTAGCTGGTTTTTTAAATTAAATCAGCCCTCGAAAAGATCAGAGTTTCGACGTTCCCTACCCGTGGCGGTTTGTCTTTTCTCGGAAAGCTGAAAAACTTATCTGTCTGTGTTGTAATGGTTGTATCCTTGAGAAAGACAATTAACCTAACTGCTATGGATGGCATAAGGCGGGCCTCCCGTATGTTTTTAGGCGAGGTAGCCACCAACTACTTCTAGGAGAGACCCCTTCAGCTGTTTACGGGGCGATAAACCCAACAAAACAATAGCCGGACATCGCGAAATGAAAATCTTACCAAAAATGACCACATTTACAGCATTGAGTGTTGACATTTCTGCTTTATCCACTTTCAGGAGGACTATGACCGTCTACGACCACTGTCCTATCCACAGACAGATGTCTTCTTCATTTGTTTTTCCATAGAATGCAGAGGATCCTTTTTAAATGTGGCAGAGAAGTGGGTTCCAGAAATTAGGCACTACTGTCCAGATACGCCTATCGTAATCGTTGCCTGTAAAATAGGTAAGATACAATTCTGTCTGTAACGATAGTAAAAATGCATTGCTATTTCCGGCATGCTTGGTGAACTGTTGTTAAGGTTCAATAAACCACGTATGCGCTATGTCCACCTAGCTTTGGTATGCTGCATTCCTGGAATTTAAGATCCATATTCTCTGCTTGTTCTTTATCTTGTTCCTTATCAAACATATTTCAGTTGGAAAGAAACAATCATGACAATTTAGAAATACTATGAACGTTATATGATAAAAGAACTTTCCCTATAATTGATGCTAACTCAGCCCGATACCAAGTGGATGGTATGTTGACCCTTATGTCATCAGAAAACATACAGTAACATATATTAAACACAAAGCTACATATGATATTTTGATGTTTGACGTGATCGCATACGGCGTAATTGGCTACCTAGTAAATGTAATGGTGAATCATTCTCAACAAGGAGGTTCATTGCTTCAAGTTAGAGTTCCGAAGTATAAAGTTGATGTTATGTTTGATCGGTTAATACATAAAAAGCATTATAACCTTAGTGGTATTTTAATGGTTTTTGAGAATTACGACACCTGAGTTTAATATACAAGATTCATTTAATTTTTAATTTGATGGTATTTAATGATATTTTTAGATTTGCGACATACAAGCTCATGTGACTTGGTGACAACTGAAGAAGGTGCAAAAGTCGCCAAAGATCTGGGTTTGAAATACCAAGAAACCAGTGCGTTAACACAGGAGGGCCTGAAGGATTGTTTTGATAATGCGGTAGGTAGGGTTGAAATTGTACATTATACGTTGTGGAAAAGCATCCGTGTGAAAGAATATGACATTTACTATAAATTTCGTGAGCGGTTTTATTTTTTCATTACGTAATTGAAAGGTATTTGATATCATTAAAAGTAAAAACTCCAACAGGTTTCAAGGGATTGTTATTATATACATTGTGATTATGTAGATGCATATTGATTGTCATCATGTACCATTAAGAAGTTGATAATTTTCTGTGCTGCATGCATATTTAAAGCATGTAGATTTGCGGGTGTGAAATTATTTTGATATTCACTTCTCTGTACGTTACATTGCAGATACGGGAAGCCCTGTGGTCATCACCGAAGGAAGATAGAAAATCTTACGGATTTTCTTTCGGAAGAAGGAAGAAAACAGTACCCCTTCCTCCAGTGATGCCCCCAGCCGGTAAGTTAATATGAAAGTATATTGTGACGGCATCCGAAAATATCAAAAGATTGTGCAATAACATTTTTCAGTACAAATTTAGAATAAGGTAAAGCAGAGCTAAATGATTACCTAAACTGCATCCTGGAGCGGTTTCGTCCCGATAGAACTCGTCACTACTAGAAGCAACTGAGGAATATTCACGAAAAAGAATGTTGTAACGTATATACACTGCTCTTTATCATATTGTCTCTCTAATCATGCAAAAACAAAACATTCATTTACTAACAATGCTATTTGTCGTTTGTCATAGGCAAAGCACCATGGATTGAAATTGAGACATCAATATTTGCACAAGATTGGATGGCGATGCACGAGAACCCGGCGCATGCTGACGTTACATTCGTCGTTAATGGACAACACAACCTGGACGCACATAAGATAGTTTTGTGTTCAGCATCAAAATATTTCAGACGTGTCTTTGGAATGATGACATCAAATAAAGTAAACATTTTTAAACATTCATTGTACTTTTCCGGTTGATATTTTGATGCCAATATGATTTTCACGAAGTTCTGAAGCAGAATTCCATTTACTTTTTTATTGTTGTAAGGATATTGTTTTTTGCGTCTTTATTCCATTCTTGAAAACCACGAAAACAGGTTCCCTTAAAGTAAAAAATAGCAACTATTACAAGAATTAAATTGATATTACTACCACTCCTATACAATATGTTTATTGTAACAATGAAATATTTATTGTTGATATCTATAGAGTGGTATCTCAGTATCATTTTTAAATTTAAGTTAAAGTTAAGAACACTTTCAGCTTGTCTTTGGTTGACCTTCCTTCCATAATGTAACAAGACATGGTTTTGACTGTTGACATTTTGCACATTTCGATCCAATTTTTAGTAATATCACACTTTTGTAGATCATAGGTAGTAAATAACCACTCTTGTCGATTGTAGAGCGAACAGCTGAAACAAATAGAATCCTTGAGCAACTTTAGCATGGAAGATCTGAACTCTGGACTTGTCGAGGGGATTACAGCGGTATATGACAAGGAAAGCACTGATGATCAACGCCATCGTCATACAATGGTGGAACTCAGTTCCGATATCAGACCCAAAACATTTGTCAGAGTTTTGGAATTCCTCTACTCAGGTAAGAAGGGTTTGTGATTATTTCTGTACCAGTGCTGCAAGTTCAATAAGGAATGTTAGGGTTTTTTTGTTTATTAAATATGACATGCAAGTCTCTAGATAAGAAATATTTTATAAAACATTCTGATAACAGATGATTAACGGCAAGTTTTACTTTAGTGTTTGAGAAACGTTAATTTAAAGTTGTGGGAAAAAATATAAAAAGTGAGAGAGGGAACAAGGAAAAAACCAACATGTCAACTAATTATGATCGAAACTGAAACTGAACTCTGTAAAAGTACAAGGAAAATAAAACTAGGTGTTCCGGAAGAGAAAGCGTCTTTTTCATTGACAACACCAGCCATGTAAATTTTGGTCAGTTCAAGCAAATAATTACATGTTCTCAAATCTGAACAAGGCATACAACAATGGCACCAAAAGCAAACTAACGAGTATCATATATGTCCAGCTTTATATCACACAATGAAATAGAATGTCACTAAATGAGATCTTCATAGTAAGCGTAAAACTTCCCAATTATTTCATGTGTTACGAGTTGTTTGCCGGTTGACGATTTCCTGCACGAAAATCGTGATAATAGGAACAGGCCCATCGATATCGAATCTACTGCGACATTTGAACAGCATAAGTCGATAATTCGATATTTTGAAACAAATCCAAATACAATACTACAGTGTTTGCATTAGTAGATAAGAAAGTAAATTATTGTTGAAGTTCCTTCGAGTAAATACTGTGATACACAATCCTGTATATCCGTGATAACTGTGAGGAAGATGTTACACATGATATTTATGTTTCTCTAGGTATGCCCCGAGTGACCGACGATGAGGACGAGATTGACCAGGAAGACCTAGATGACCTTATCAGGGTATCCAATATTTTCAAATTGCCGAGACTGAAAGAAATTTGTGAAAATTGTCTTACCGAACAGGAATTCCTGAATCCAAGTATAGGTACTTACCTGAATGATGAGACGGGACAAAAGATGAAAGAACTCTACTTTAATCAACCTGAAATGGCTGATGTTGCTTTCAGGGTAGAAGGTAAGGCCTCATTAAGCCAGCTATTGCACGCAACCAATGGACAATTCCATTTATGAACTCGCGGTATAATCCACAAGTAAAAGTTGTGTGAAATAAAATATAATAAATAAAATACTAGAATTTCCTCTATTTTAGGAAGAACTGTATACGCACACAAAACTGTCTTAAGTGCAAGGTGTAAAGTGATGGCGGCCATGTTTGGAGGTCACTTTGTTGAAGGACAATCTACGATGTCTGAGGTAGGTATGAGATTGTTATAACTAATTCAAACGGTTGTTCTACATTTTATATAGATTAATTTTGTAAGAAGACTTTGGTGGAAATCTCATGTGTGGTAATACATGTAGTTTTCATTCTTTGGTACTTCAGGTGGATATCCCAGGTACCTCCGCCGAGTGTTTCCTGGCTCTGTTAGAATACCTGTACACAGATCATTCACCTATTGAAGAGATCGAGGTGGTGGGACTAGTTGTTCTCTCGGATGAATACGGACAAAAACGTCTCTTGAATCTGTGTGAATTATACATCACCAAAGAAGTCGAAAGAAATGTAACTAAAAACATAGAAAAAGCAGAGATTGATGTCATTGGACTTTTGCACACATCACAGGTAAAACAAATATTCTTAAACGATTCTGCATCTACAGTAAAACCTTTATTCATCCCCGTAGACGTATGATGATTGCAATGGTCTGAGATCTGTCTTTTTTATATATCAACGTTTAATAATAGAATAGAATATGATAATCTCCAATAAATCTGTAAATAAGAACAATTTTAATAGCACAATACACCTTCTACATCCTAATTCATTAACCGGCGCCATGGTATATTGCGTTTGGAACCTAAATAAGCATTTTTTAAAAAATTTCATTCCGATTACAGAATTACAATGCAGAACAACTATCAGGGTGGTGCTTGCACTTTATCTCAACAAACTACACAGCATTCCAGAATCGGAGGGAATTCTCGTCATTAAAAGGAAAAAACAAAACATACATTGAAGAAAATCAGTGGCCTCCTGTTTCTTACCTACGCGAGGTGGAACAGTACGAAAAGAAATGGAAATCAAAAGGAGACAAATGTTTCATTATGTAAAATTGTGCCTTATCATGATAGTCCTATTCTGACTAGTGGGATAAAGCCCAGAAACAATTCTGTCTGTATACTCATTTGTTCCCGAATGGTGAGGTCTTATTCTTTGTATCAAATGGTTGATGTTCTGAACCATATGTCATAACGTTAGTGAAACATTTTAATCATTAAATCATTAAGACAGATAACACCTGTAGGTGTGTAGTAGAACGAATGAATGAACGAATGAATGAATGAATCGGTACGGCCTTTATTTATTTTATCTTTGTTTATCTAAAATGTGTAACAGAGCATCGTTAACTGCATGGTGATTATTTTACGTACACATTGTTTTTGGAAGTGTTGTTTATATCATGCAAGACCAGTTAAAATATATTATGTTTTTATTATTATGTAATGTTATAGGCAATGTTGTTATCATTTTCATTAAAATGCGATGTTGCTTTAACCTCAAAGTGCGTTTGATATTTTCAGCGAGGAACATAAGCAAATGCTTTGGAAAATGAATTTTTCTTTCGTGATTAATGATGCAAAAATCTCCTTTTATAGATAAATCTTAACGTTTGAGACACATCTATCTGGATAGTAACATTATCAATGAGATAATTATTACGAACAGAAAAATAAACTTCCTATAATTAATTAGACATCGTTTGTACGTGTTTAAATGGAATTATAGATATATGGATTTACGTCGTATTTTCGGTGCTTTTCCCGCAGGTTAACTTTAACAATACAAATGCAATCTTAAAATTACGTTGAAAATTATATCATTTAAAATAAGCTTTGTAATAAGTAAAGATTTGTTTACATTTGTTTCAACGTACATTTGTATGTATTAAAAATAATGACATTGCAAATATCATTCAAACAAAATATCATTATGTAGTAAGAGAATCTCTTAAATGGCACATTATCTCTTTTGCCAGAAAACGTAAAAAAAAAAGCTCTAGAACAAATGATGATTCTAAATATAGTCGACATATCTTATATTGTGGAGTGAAAGTTTCGATTCAAGGAAATCTCCCTTTATCTCAATTGTGTCAGGACTGACTATTAATAAGAAGGTATTAAACTTTCCCATTATTGTTTTTAAATTTTCTACGTGACGGAATATACTTGACGGGAAAGTATTTTCATTTACAATATATATTATGGTGATGATATGAAAACTCTTTTATCGTCACAATATCCATTTGTGTCACTGTTTTAATGACACCAGTAATTGGAATTCTAAAAACATTTTATTTCAGCTTTGAAGTGTAAGTAGATTTATAACAATATGGTTTTGGCCGTACTGCTGATACTTATGCCCTGGCAACCCAAAAAGGATTATACAAAGCACACACTTCAAGACAAAAGCACCTTCCAATGAAAATTTAGAATCAGATAGTAAAGTCAGTTATTAGATTAAACTGCATCATGCAGATTCCTGGTCTTTCTAGAACTTGTAATTGATACTCTTAAACTAAAGTGTTGAAACCTTGGAGGTGAATGAGGAATATACAAACTGATTGAAATAGATAGGTACTGCACTAATAGCAACAAAAACGTTTAATGTTGGTTGATTTCAAAAGAACCTTCAGTTCATATGTGTGCTTTGAACAGCGCCGTTTATCGAATAAATAAAGTGGCAGGCAAGTTTACCGTAAGTAGAATTCAGTGAGGAAATTTGTAGAGATGTGTAAGAACAGTCAAAGGACTGATTACACAGAATGTATTTCAAATGATTTAAACATTACTTTGAAATATTGTACATTAAAATATCCAATACAATACAAGGGTGTTTTACACTGATTTGTTTACTATTAAAGAAAACAAGCTGCATCTTATTTTTGGGTTCTTAGGATACCTGACACTTTCCAAAACTTCATCTGCAACAAAATGCAATAATAACGGCCTTCCGATAAAATCTATTATTTTCAATTAAGACGAGTCAGATTTCATATTAAAATGATAAACGTATACAGTGATATGGAGAGGTTGGTACAAATACTCTATTGTGTAACTTTGTATATGTATTTAATTCAGTGATGTGATGGATATAAATTATCATTATATAATTAAATTGTATTGTTTCGTATAGATTTTCTGTAAACGACATTACAACTTTAGAAAGTTAGAAAATGACGGGTTACAGGTATATACATAAACTGGAGTTTACATTTATATTGAAAAAATGCTATTGATGAAATGTCGTTATTTACATTGCTGACAATTACATAATTACATCTCAGAAGAAGTGCAGGAAGAAAAACTAATTACACACATGGTGGCGATATTCAGTGAAATGGTTAAGGAATGCCGTTTTAAATATTTAGACGCTAGAGTGAAATAGAAAATCGGGCATCAAATTTCCTCACAAACATGTATCTCTCGTGATTTGATTCCATTTGCTTATTTTGAACATCAATACCATTTAATTAAAAGTACTCTAGTAGATCAATAATGAAGCTTCCATGCTTCTTCTGGCACTCGTTATGTATTTCAGTACAGTCTCGGCGTTATACCATCAGCGTAAATACTTCAACGATATGATTGGTTAACATATATAGAATGAACTCCTCGAGCTATATTTAGATTTAATGAAACTGGTGGCTTTGACAGGAAGTCTTTCTACGTGATACACAGCACAGAGATTCATGGAATACAAAATAGTAAGTGAGGTATGGACATTGGCTTATCAACCATAAGATATTAGTGCAGATGGAAGATGTAGTGTACATTTTATTTTCTTGTGGGTTAAGATTAATCAGAGACGTTTAATCATGGAGTCAGATATAGATCGTCTACAAGTCCTTGGTATGATGCTACTAACTCATAATATCTTACTGAAAACAATTTCCGATCGGTGTCTGTGTATTAAAACAGAGTGATTTGTTTCTGCGATAATGACACTTGTTAAAACAATACACTGCATTATGTGCCTATGAAAGCCAACTCTCCATATCGTGGCAAACAGGGCGAACGTATCAAAACACCGCGATATGGGTCATAGACTTGCACAAGCCCATTTAGAGACGGTCTCAGCGTAGTGTTTTTTATTATCAACCAAATGCCATAATTAACTTTTAAGGACATTTTAAGTGAAATCATTTGTAGAGATAATTATAGTGTCTCATGATTCCATTTTCAGGTCACTTAAACATAAATACATATAGATAGACCAGAAATGTCAGACGTAATACCTATGATACTACTGGCGCTGCCATCGTCTGAATACACCTGCCACTTACATGTTTGCTGTATTCGGAAGTAACAGAAAACAGCTGTATGTTAGCAGGTGCGTTATTTCGACAGAATTACTTACTGAAATTACTAAAAAATACTCAAAAAGGTTTTACATTAAAAGAACTGTTGAAATAAACGATTTCATATGTTGTTATGGAAAACGTTATTTACCAAAATTCATAAAATTGCTGTCATATTCGTTGACAATTTGTACTATGTTTCTGCGCGGAGCAATTATTTTGGCATACATCATCAGGCAAACTTCAGTGTAACGTCAACGTCAGATAAACAGACATTGAGCAACACAACAGTTGAACTTTTGATTTCATTATTTTTCAATCAAAATTGCAGCATAAATAGAACACTTAATCAGTGTCTTAAAATATAAGCTGTTTTTTTGGCAAGGCTGAACTAAAGTGGCGAACCACTTTTGTCCTTCTGTCCCGAACGTATTTTCTGGTTAAATACAAATACAATTACCACTATAAGTTGATGTATGATTTTTCTTTGCATATGATAGAACCCATGAGGAAGATAAAGTTAATCACTGTGGGAGATCACGCGGTGGGGAAAACGTGTTTACTTCTCTCGTATACCACTCAAAGATACCCACAGGGTTACATACCAACATTATTCGACACTTACGTCACAGCTGTTGAGGTCGGCGAAACATGGATCGACGTAGAATTAAATGACACGCTTGGAAATTGTGTAAGTTAAACATGCTTATCCTTTCAGTCTTCAAGTATTATTATGTCTCCTGATCCTTATGCCTTGTATGCTCGTAGGAAGAAAGAATTGACATGGCGCCTACACTTTGTAATACAGTTCTTTATATTCGTTTTTCAGTTGTGATATTGGAGTTTGTCAGTATTGTACTGAATTCCCAATTCGAGATATTGAAACTAAGTAGTTTGTACCGACTGTATTAAATGTAGTGTTATACTGAAAATATATTTTCACTGGTATCCTATGTAAAAGGTGAATGGTTGAACTAAAGCATGCTGGAATAAGAACATAACCAGAAAACATTGGGTGTGTCACTTTTTATTTACAATAATGATACATCAACCCAAAGGACAAATTACAACTTATCGTCATTACCTACTCGGACGTTATCAGGGAAATCCTCAGCTTCTACTCTATAAATACTACTTAAAATCGATTACTTTTTTAGTATACCATGGCAAGTTATGAACGTACGAAATATTTATACGAATAAGCTTGAAAAGATAACAAAACCAAGTGACACAGAAGGACAATTGCATTCCTCTTCATCGCCTTTGCTCTCTTCGTTGGCCTGATTAATTTCAGTTTTCCATACTGTCCTCTTAACATCCTTGTATTGTTCACAGGATGAAGACTATGAGCGTCTGAGGCCACTATTATACATAAATGGGGATGTATTTCTCGTTTGCTTTTCGGTAGAGAACCGCGAAACCCTGGAAAATGTGACTATAAAATGGATTCCTGGAATAAGGCGATATCGTCCACATGCACCTATTGTACTCGTTGGTTGCCAAATAGGTAAAAGAAATCCTAATATTTTCACAAATTTATACAAATCGTTTGATAAGGTCGTTTTGTCAAAAGTAAGGAATTTGCTTCTTGATGTTGTTCATATATCATTAATTTTAAGATATTTTTATCTGTATACTGATGAAAGGCAATCATTTGAATGTTCAACCTCACGATGGCACCAAAACTTAATTTGAAACACTTATTTCGACGCTGAAAACTTTTTTCATAATAAATCATTGTACATTTATATCGTTTATATATCATAAATCTCATTCACCAAATTAATTGTCATTGTCTGTCTTGTAGATTTACGATATAAAAGTGTATCTGATCTGGTGTCGTATGATGAAGCGTCAAAGTTTGCCACAGATTTGGGACTTTGTTATGTAGAAACCAGTGCGCTAACCAAACAGGGCTTAAGTGATGTTTTTGATACAGCAGTAAGTTTTCCTTACTATGCAAAAGAAAGACTGCACGGATGAAATGAGTTTTTCTTCACCCTTCTTTAACTGGTATCCTCCATATACATATATGTGCTCCCAATACCCTTTTTTTGAAATTGTGATAACTGGTCTCTGTTGATCACGTTTACAAGTAAATTGCTTAAAGTGGGCTTCTACAGAAAATCCATTCGCTAATTTAACGGTTTCCATACGTATCATCTCTCACTATAACTATGAGATCATTTACAATGGAACAATGCGTGTAATGTATTCTGTATCTGGGGAAAATGTTCAATTATTTATGACGCCTGTTAATGTACAAGATGGGAGGTATGTACAAATTATATTGAACATGCACTTTTGTGCGGCAGATTAATTTTGGTCACATTTACGCGGAGGCCAGACTCATTGACAAATCTTACTTGATATCAATATTGCATGTCGCTTATCAATATACGACGATCATTCACGCTCTCTTTGCAATGCATTTTAAATGACAAAATGTTCCAATGTGCGCACTTTCGACGGACAAATAAAATGATCCAAAATTGCCTAAAGTAAATTTTCATTACAGGCCCGCGTAGTGGTGAGTTCATTACCAACGAAGACAAAACGGTCTCACCGAGGGCTTTTCTGTTGTGTGAAGAGAGAAAGTCTAGAACCTCCTGTGAGACCCTCAGTCAGTAAGTTGCTGTAAATGCTTTAGGTGATGGGTCTTTTTCAGTTACGGGTCTTTTTCAGCTACTAGTTTGAAACAATGGCTATATTTTTCATTCTTAATTATGAAAGGACCGCAATTTCCCTCATTGTTATCATCGTAATTAGAACTAGATTCCATAGAAAATAAACTTTACACTTACATTTAAATATGTTAATTCTTTAATTGAAAACAAAACACAAAGGTTAAATTTTACTATCTACCTGAACTTGCAGTAACGTTATTTAACTTACAATCAAGTCAGTGGTTTCGTACAAGAATGATGCGAAAACTATCGTTTTGAAAACAAAAAACAAAACCAGAATTAAAATCCAGTAAAAGATCATGTGTTACTGTCCGAAATATTACGAGAAAATATGATACTTTACTCGTTGATATGTTGTTATATAAAGAAAAGAAATTCAAATTTTCAATCTGTCAGCCATTGGTGTTAAAGTTGTTTGAGGGTTCAAAGTGAAAACAATAAAAATATTGACAAGACTGCCTTGTAACTGGTATCTAACATTTTGTGTTTTTACGTCAGACTAAATTGAAAAATGTTAGGCGATGTTAATATTCTTTTTTTCACCACGGTAAATAGTAAATGAATTAACATATTTTTTGATTGGCAGTCAAGGCACCTTTGATTGAAGTTGAACCATCACGATTTGCGCAAGACTGGATGGCAATGCACGAGAACCCGGTACATGCTGACGTTACATTCGTGATACGTGGACAACACAATCTGGACGCACACAAGACAGTTCTGTGTTCATCCTCTACATACTTCAGACGAGTCTTTGGAACAGTGAACGCAAAGAAGGTATCATAGTTATACTGAAATATATTGAATTTACAAAACAAATATGTAAGTGTGGTATGCATAACACACAAATGTATGCCTGCTATGTTGAAAGTCGGAGGTTTTGATAAGATGTTATACAAGTTATCACTCATTTTCATCACTCAGTTTTCAACAAAAGCTTGAAACAAGAATATTTCCCGCAATTCTATTCCATCCACGAAAAATGGTAGTAATGTTTTCTTAACCCTCAGATGAAAACTACAGTGGGTAACTCTGTCCAGACGGAAGGAATCTTAGCAGTTTACGACCAAGACAGGAGTAAAGAGGATATATTGAGTCAAGGTCGCTGTCACACTATGGTGGAAATCAGTTCTGATATCAAACACCATACATTTGCCAAAATCCTACAATTTCTGTACTCTGGTACGTAAAAAAACAAGCAAAAAAAAAATCCCAACGAGAACAACACAATCATAATCTAAACTTAAACCTAATAATTCAATAAAACATTAACATAAAAATGTACAAGGAGAATAAGACCACATGCTCCGGAAGGATAAGAGTCTTTTGCTTCATTGGCTTCACTGACGACACCCGCCATGTAAATATTTGTAATTATTTAGGGGATAGCATGTCTGTTTTACGCATATACTGGAGATAAAAAAAGAAGAAGAAATAAAGAAAGTGCCAACAAATAACAAGATACGCTAGTGAGGATTTATTTGAAAAGCCCAGTATCGAAAAACTGAGATTGAAAAAAAAAGAAAACTGATTTGATTATTATATTGATTTCACATAAATCTATATGGCATGATTTCACAGGTGTACCTGAACTAACCAACGACCAGAACATGATTGACCAGAATGACCTCGCTGACATCATAAGAGTATCCAAAATATTCGAACTACATAGACTGACAGAGATTTGTCAAAACTGTCTTGGCGAGCAGGGAATATTCAATCCAAGCATAAGCACCTTCTTAACTGAGGAGAGAGGACAAATAATGAAGGAACTCTATTTCAACAAACCAGAGACAGCTGATGTCACTTTCAATGTGGAAGGTAACAGTTGGATATTCAATAAGTACTTTCAAGACAAGTTAAACTTCGTATTTGTATTCGTAATGTTTCCACATTGATCTCAAGGGAGTGAATTGCACATTCGTTTTCTTTTGTCGTCGAGGAGATTGTCAGAGGTTTTGTTGTCACTGCCTTGGTTCATATATTGAGGACGTGGCATCTTTTACGATTCATGTAGACAATGTATACATTACAGATGTTGTTGATAAGGTGGTATCCTGGGCCTACATATGTAATTAAGACAAACGTGGTGCCAGGTTTTGCTCACCTGGCCTGTATCACTACTTAAGATTGCCGTGATGCAGCGTCCGTCGAACGTCAACGTTTCTTTTAAATTATTCATATGAATAATCATAAAGGGTATGGTATTGCTATTTCACTGTAAGGCTGAAAAAGTATATTAGAGATTGATTTTACTTGGCCGTTATAATTATCGATTAAATCTAAATAATGTCATGCTTTGGGTGTAAGTTTTGTGCAGGTTTTTGAATATCAATGATTAGAGAGCATCAATAAAGTTGTGAAAAAGTAGTGATGCCAAGTGAGCGATATAGGCCCATTGGGCCTCTTGTTGGTATTTTAAATACAAATTATTTTCATCTGTTTTAGGAATAAAGGTGTACGCTCATAAAAGTGTCCTCACTGCAAGATGTGAAATTATGGCAGCCATGTTTAGAGGTCATTTCGCGGAAGGACAAACGACTATTTCTATGGTAGGTTTAGACATCGCGTTGTTGACGTCACATAATTAAAGGTCAGTAGAATATTTGAGATTGGTTATCACGTTTAGCAGACCCTTTAATTACGTACTTTCTGTTTCATTTTAAACAAAGGTAGATATCCCGGCTACCTCTGTGGAGTGTTTCCTTGCTCTGTTGGAATACCTATACACGGACCAGGCACCTATTGAAGATATCGAGGTGATGGAACTTATTGTTTTGGCGGATAAATACGGACTAAAGCGTCTCACAAATTTGTGTGAAATGTATATTACCAAGGAAATTGACAAGTGTGTGGCGAATAATGTCGGAACGGCAGAAATTGATGTGATAGGAATTCTACAAACATCACAGGTAAATAAATACATAAAAACAATATACTAAGTCGAAAATATTTTGTCAGTTTTTCATATCCATTCCCTCTCACAGATAGGTATATTCGTATCCATGTATATCGATATATTGCGATCCAGGTGTTCATATCATATAACAGACAATTTGCCACTATGATCATTGCAAGAATGCCCAGCTGTCTATCGCTACAACTTCCAAATATCTTCTTTTTTTTGGGGGGGGGGGGGGGGGGGGGGTCAGGGTGGTGTAGTTGGTGCCGTAGATCGTGAGTTCGAGGCCCGGTTAGGGCAGAGGTAAAAAATGTCTTCTTTCGTCAGTTGGGTCACTATGTTCAAATAGATATGTAAATGTATATACCGTTTATATTTTTCAATTATGCTACATCATAATAAAGTTACCAAAAGTTAGAATGAAGTTCCCACTATCATAAAACATCACTCTGTATGGATGAAAGTGCCATTTCATGTTTTCACTTATAATTCTCTTACAGAATATCAACGCAGAGCAGTTGTGCAGCTGGTGCCTTCATTTCATATCCACAAACTACACGGCTTTCAAACAGCGGGCGGAATTCCTCTCGTTAAAGGAAGAAAACAAAAACTACATTGAGGAGAATCAGTGGCCTCCATTATCATATCTGCGTGAGAAGGCAGAATATGACAAGCAGCTGAGAAGAAATAACAGTCCATTTAAATGTGCAATCATATAAAGTGTTTACATTTATATATAAACTGTGCCAAATAATGCTTTCATGGACGTTTGCTCTTACTCTAGTGGTTCAGGGATAATTGTGTTTTTATTTTTTATGCTTACAGCAACTATCAAGTCTGTAAGGGAAATTAAGTTCAAGTTGTGACTTATCTTTTCATGGTATTAAGGCAATATCTAAGATTATAGATAAACTTTGTGCAATTAAATGTATTTTACTAACTAATAGATTTATTTGAATCGCTAATAAAATATGGTAGAAACTCGATGCAAATTTGTATATGATGTGATATGATTGAAAACGAGGGGCATAATACTAATAGATGTAATGGAGGAAGATATATGGTATACAAATTGTTGGACTACATAAATATATTTAACTCCTTTGCCTTGATATCAGTTATCATATACCTCCAGAAATATCATTTTAATGGTATTTACGACTCATGAGGAAATATGTTTTTGATTAAAAACGTTATGAAATTTATTTATTTTGCTGAGATGACAAATTATATACAAACAGCGCGCTCGCAACACAGTAAATTTGATTAAATACTCCAGAAAGGATTGTTTTATAGACGTACTAATGAAAGTAACTTTAATAACAAATAAAGTAGACATGAAATAAAGCATAACACTTGGAATATTCTGATACTAGAGACCACAGATGTAGCAGGCAGTTTGTATGGTAACTTAAAATCCACTCAACAAAAGTTAAAATTCAGAGGAGAATATGTACTTAGCCTGTTACTTAATAGACTATGTTTTAATACGTCAATTTGCTAAAAGTTCTTAACAGGGCCCATTTGTAAGAGTTTAAACGTGGCATGCAAAAGTACGGCAAACCTGAAGATTAAACTTACGATACATGACATTTTTTTTATCATAGGGTGTAGCATTACAACAAGGCAAACTACATGTCAATATAATCTTCATCAGAACAAGAATGAATTCGAGGAAATGAGGGTGAAATAAAATTACAAAATAAAAACTACACTGAAAAAGTAAAAGGAGAATATGACAATATGTTTCGGAATGTTAAGCGCCTTCTACTTCATCAACAACATTCAAAATGCAAATTTAGTTAAATCTTTGTAAAGTAAGTACGTAAGTACGTTACGTCTCGTTATCACCAATTATGCTAGAACATCTTTTCCTAGTGTCCCCCCCTCCTCGGGTCCCCCCCCCCCCCCCCCCCTCCTAGTGTCCCCCCCCCACCACCACCACCACCTTGATATCAAATGTGGCCCAGGAGTGGACATAACGTTTACGACTAATTTCAGTCTCATTGCATATGTCTATCACTACTGCTACTTCACCTCAGCCTTATTTTTCTTACCTCGAGACAAGCATGACGTCTCACGAAAACTGGTTGTAGTGTGAGGGGTATTTGGCAGTAGCTAACCACGGACACTACACTCTGGGGTCTGAAACAGAACTCTTCTGCAGTAAATTTACTCCGGTCCTGACTATTTACATCGGTCCTGACTATTTACTCCGGTCCTGACTATTTACATCGGTCCTGACTATTTACATCGGTCCTGACTATTTACTCCGGTCCTGACTATTTACATCGGTCCTGACTATTTACTCCGGTCCTGACTATTTACATCGGTCCTGACTATTTACTCCGGTCCTGACTATTTACATCGGTCCTGACTATTTACATCGGTTCCGACTATTTACACCCGCCCTGACTAGTTACACCGGTCCTGATTATTTACACCGGTCCTGACAATTTACACCCGTCCTGACTATAGTATCAGGTGGATGTGAAATATGAGACAGACAGATAAATATGTTGATGGTGTTGGTGAATGACATACCGCAATGTGTAGTAACGTTGTATAAGGTCACTTTAAAAATCTCTTAAACTGTACAATATGTGACAAAGCAAGACAATGTCGCCCACCGGCAACCAACGACACGTTTTGAACTTTAAAATAGTTACTAGGAAGTAAGATATAACTTAATTACAAATGATTATACCACAGAGAGAACGACAGCACGACCCCCAACAAAGATCAAAATTATCATAAATAAATGACTTCAACCATAGGTTGTAAACAGTCATATTTCGTAAAATTCCACAGTCAGCAATTAGACAAGGTTCTCGTACAGGTACATTTTAAAGTAAAATTTTCTCAAAACTTCTCAAAACACATGACGAAATTAATTCGAAATAAACTAATTCTGACCTTGACTTGCAACTTATCATTATACCTAATCATAGATCAATGTCTCTGTTCAGTAGAGTAACTCATATACATGTGTCACCTAACTTAATGGCTGTGCGACGGCAATACTGTATACTTGTATATATCGTGGACATGAAAATATTTCAGGATTATTTAAAGCTATATTTGATACATAATGTACATGTACCTACATTGTATTTCAAGGGACTGGATCAATCAACCTATCTTGCACCTTGTTGACCCTTGTAGGCCTGTCTTTCAGTCCTCACGAGGTCAGCCATGCACCTGTGATTGCGTCTTATGTTTAATTCAAATTAAGACATAATCCTATAGCAAACTTTATACAAGACAGTTACTCTCGATGACGTATACTGGGCCTTGCCTTCGATCCAACTCACACCAACGTATCGCCCAAAATCCAGGAAGGTCAGTCATTTGTCTAAAACATCATGATACATATGCCTATTATCTAAGAATGGTTCCAGGCTTAATTTGGTAAAAATATCGATGGTAAAATTGGCACTTGGTGACCCATCTATAAGAGAAATGTAGCTTGTGCTGCGTAAAGATGCCGATCCCCACCGTTAAAACTCAGACACGACGGACCCCGCCCTCCAACAAAATAAGTTCATTTTATGATCTTTAACCATTCCAAGTAACGAGAGACACATTCACGAGACAATATACAACATATTTAATCGATAGGTTTTACAAACATATATCATTATTATATCATTATCATCATGATCATAATCCAGGGGACATATCGCGCATCCGTTCCCTTAGAAATGACCCAAGTGGCCACTTTTAGACAATGCACACAGGCCCTCCGCACTCAAAATCAAATGTGAAATGAAGATATTATTAGATAGTATTCATGAAAAAGATCAGACAAGATGAAAATTTGATAAAATGACATTAGCCGTTATATTTCTGTCATTGAATCAACAATTTGTGAAATGAGATGGGACCAGCCAACACAATAAAACTTGTATATATCAGTCAAACAAGAGACCCAAGAGACTTGCATCGCTCACCTGACAAATTCAGCTATTCGGCCTTCAAAAAAGAAATATTTGTCTCTATTCATAAAAATTGCTTCAGACAATATTCTTGTATGGAGGAAGGATTTTAAGGAACTTACATTTCCCCATTAATTGGGCCCATCTCTTCCGCCCTAGAGGGCCGGGAGGCGCCGTTTATATAAATCTTATTTCCCTTCATCCAAGAATACTTCAGACCATATTGGGCAATATCCATTTATCTTTATATGAGGAGTAAAATTTGAAGGACTTGCAAAATTGCCTTATGGTTCCTGGGATCCTTACACAAACTTTGTTCCCTTTAACCCAAGAATACTTCGTGACAAATTTGGGCGATATCTAATCATTACTAATGGAGAAGTAGGGTTTAAATTTAAAAAAATTGTCCTATTTCCCCAGTTGGGCCCCTGTCCCTCCCATCCCATCCATAAAACACAACTGATTCCATTCACCCAAGAATTAAATGTGGGAATTATCAATTCATTCTAACAAGAGGAGTAGAATTTTAAAGAATTTACTCTGTTTTCCCTTTTGGGCCCCGCCACTCCCTCCCGACCAGGGGGCCATGACCTATAATTTATACAAAATTGACCCCCCCCCCCCCCCCCCCCCCCCCCCCCCCCCCCCGAACAATGGACCATTTCAGACTAAATTTAGGTAAAATCCAATCATTACTACAAAAGGTATAGGATTTCAGTTTTTACATATTTTTTTGCCTCGGGGGAGGGGGCAATGAGATCCACCATTTATACAAAATGTGTTCCTATTTCCCTAGGGATGCTTCTAGCCAAAATTGATAAAAATTAAATCAGTCCAGTAAGTTGTTTATGAAAAGTAACGATTTGTATCCACTATATAATGCACATGTTCTTTGGAGAGCAAAAAAAAAGAAAAAAAGTTGAACTGAATGAAAGAGTCATCTTGTCAAATAAAGATAAATCAATATCTGAGTTTAAATACATTAATCATGACTTATATTTCTGTCCAGCTGATTTGTGACTTTTTGATGAAGTGTAGCGAGGTTACCTCCCTTGGAATCTCGTCCGACGTAGTTTGGACGCTTGTGTCTTGTATTCGTAATGCTTTTAATGGAAGAATATATCTGATCCCGATGCCAAAATAAAAACAAGTATGGCGGAGTTTAAAAAAGTTCGAGCTAAGACAATCAGAAAACGTCGACATTCGTCAAGTAGCGACGACAATTCTGACAAAGAAGATGACATTGGGTAAATATTTGATAAGTTACAATCTGGAAAAGTTATCGCAAAATAGCGGCTCTTTGTGGTATGCTGCATTGTATCGTGGTCATGAATCACCTGAACAGCTGCAAAACGCCTGTTAAGTCATTATCCACAACATGAATATTACTTAACATAGTACTGTTGATTAATTATATGTTTAACATGGCATTGTGTGTGACCGTTTACGTAGCGAGAAACTGGTGACAGACGCCATGCATAGTTGTGACGGTAGTGGTGACCACACCTGATAGAAGGCCGACCTGCATCCACTTACGTTATAGGAGAAATGCATATTCTGATTTGTTAATGCGAATACTGTTTTTGTTGTATTCATGTCTATAGGCATAATAGTAAACGTACTTAAGATTCAAAACTATGATAAACATCGCACTATTACATGTATATATCAGACTTTCTGAAGAGCTAATGTTTGTATTGTTTTTAATACCGACAATAAATAAAACTTTATTATTATTATTATTATTATTATTATTAAACAGGAAATGAGTAGTTTTCCTCCTTTGGGTATTGAACACGAAACATCAGTCTTTTTGTAAACCGCTCTATAGAATGAAATAAAATGAAATTCCCTCTTACAGTTAGAGTGTGACTATATCTCTGATATGTACAGCACAACTTCAACCCAGGTTCCATTGTTGCAAGAAAGCCCCACAGTCTCCTCTAGATTACACTTTCCCATAGCTTGCAGTTGGAGTGGTCTATGATATCAAATGTAGGATGAAAAAAATAGTAAGCCTCTGTCGGGGATTGAATCCCCACCTCTGGCTTATTGGTTTGCTACTCTACTGTTTGAGCTAAAGGGAAATTCCCTCTACCAGTCGGCACAAAGCTAAATGGTCACAGACAGTGTCATTACGAACATTTAATCTCTCTAATAGTAATGAAACTTCTAAAGATATTTAGGTCTTAAGTGTGTCAAAGAAGTTAAAATCTAGTTCTGTAGTCATTAACTACTTTTGTATTCATTGTTTGATATTCTCTTTCGTCTATTACCCTAGAACGAAATTGCAAGATATAAAAGAGCTACAGAAAATGAGAGCAAGGCCTAATGGTGTGAGTGCTGAAGTGCTGTTAGTAGGAAAGGAAGTAGCCACAAAACAGACCACTGATGATGTAGGTATATAAACAAGCTAATTATAAGCTTTTCATGTGTGTGGTACTGCAAGAGGGATTTTAACTTTGATAATCTAAATGGCCTGTGATCTGTTTACTCCCACAGTTAAATCATTTACCTGATATTTATATGGTTTCAATAGAAGTATCAGGTATATAGATCGTTGAGTGCCATATGTCAATTGTTCTCAATTCCAAAAATCATTGATGATTCGGCTTTGTATTTTGACATGTATGTGTGTATGGAATACACATCATACCTTCCAAATATCAAGAAAAATACAATATGTTTGGAAAAAAAATGACTGTCGGTTACTTACCTGTGTATTGTGTCATTGATCAAAATTAAGGATTAGCTGATAAGATAGATTCGATATTTTGACTATTACCAGGATTCCTATAATTTTAATTACTGTTGAATTTATATATGTATTTCAGCAGACAAACTTCCTCTTGTAAGCATTTTTGTTAATGTGTTTTTCCTTACTCCAGAATGACCCATTCAAAATGAAAACTGGTGGATTTGTAGATATGAAGGCTTTGAAACATAAGTAAGTCTGGGTTGATCACAATTAATTGTTGAATAGCTAGTACATATACATTGTGTCAAAGTACTTCTTGGAATGATAACTTAGAACTTAGAAGTCTGATATTCTTAAAACAGGACTTGGTCCTAATGCATACAGAGTTATCACCCTTTGTTCACTGCAGTATCACTTTGTTCTATATCACTTTAAACAACCACATCTTGCATGCTGATAGCCATTTGGATTTCAGAATGTTAGATACTATAATTTGATCATAAGAATTTTTTAAGCAAGTTAAGATTTATTTTTGAATCAGACTTTGTTCAGGAATTTGAGACTAGAAAGCTTGCAATTATATTCGTTGTTATGCACTGTGTGCAGAAAGATTTCAAGTATTAATATGGCACTATCTATGGTATTTATCAAGTACTGTCACATGCATGTTAATAATGTTCCTTGATTTCTTTTACAGACCAATAAATGTAGTAGACAGTGAATCCATAGGTACAGCGTTTGCTGCTGAAACAAACCGTCGAGATGAAGACACAGAAATGTGAGTTTCTCTTTCCCTAAATTATCTTCAGGAAAAAAATTATAGTTATATACTATATCAAGAATTGCTTTGAGAGATGATAAAATCTCATTTGCCTATGTTCTACTTGTAAACTCTATGATATTTTCAGTCCTTTTGAACTCTTATGTATATATGTATAAGCCATAATAAAATTTTTTAAATGGGAAAAAATTAATAAAAAGATATTCATGACTATTATGTTTCCTGAATTTACCTTACTAAAGTTGTTTTTACAAAAATAATAATCAAATTGTGTCAAAGGAGATACAGTCACACTCATGACATGTATAGTTAAGATATTATTTCAGTTGTACATTGATTCTCATTAATAACTAGGTTGAAGTATGTAGAAGATGAATTGGCCAAAAGGAAAGGTCACCACAAGGAGGAAATCACTGATAAGTAAGTTTGTTGTTTAGTATGGTGAGTATGTCTGTCTTGTATATTAAGGATATATACTACATTTCTCTCTTTATTATATAATAAATGTTGTAAGAGTTGTTCCTCTTATATAATTTTATATTTGATAAACGTTGTTACTTTCTACATTACTCTTAAAACCCAGATAGATAAGTTTCTTGTAAACATTTGAAATGTTTCTTTAATAGAGTCACTATAGCTCAAACAGCAGAACCATGGTCTTCGCAACAGCGAGTGAATATCTGAGGTGTTTGGTTCAATACCCTGCTCTTGCTCTTGCTCTTGCTCTTGCTCTGGATTGCATGAAATGGGCATCACTTATGTAGATAGGTAGCAACCACCTACTACAGGGAGACCCCATTTGAGATGAATCTGGCTGTTGGTGGGGAGATATACCCAGAGAACAAACACCATTTATCATATTCTGTAACCTTTTTAAGTGTCACTTTCTTCTAAACTAAAATTCTTGAAAAAGAAAGGAATTACAAATTACAAACATACATAGCCTGAAGTCATGAATTTAAAAAAGTTCTCTGATATTTTCAGATCCAAAAAGCAAGAAAATAAACTTTTTGCTCTACCAGAAAATCTGAAAGTTGAATCAAGTCGAAAAAAGACAGAAGACATGTTGTCTAATCAGATGCTGTCTGGTATACCAGAGGTGGATCTGGGTATAGAGTAAGTAAATGTAAACCTGTTTATACAGCACCTAATGGCTTAGCCAAGAAAATAGAAAATCTACAACTGTTTAAACATTACATTGTGGTGTCATCCCCTGTTACAGGATATTTGGAAGGTTTATTGATGAAACTTCTTGATATTCACAACAAGTTTGTAGTTTCAAATTGTCTTTTAAGTGATAATGATACATACTGGATCACAATATATATACAAATTGTAAAAACAACACATGATTTATATATAAGCAATTATGATGGGTAGTTAAGATCTGAAACCTTCAGTTCAACATGAATTAATATTAATCTGAAGATGTCAGATTTCAATGCCCATTTGATATCAAAATATAAAAAAATAAAGCACAATGCATCCTATTTATACACCAATGTATGTAGATCTGAAGGTTTCAGGTTCAAATTACATGTACATGAGCTGTTACTTCAGGGCTATTTTCAGCAGTGGATCTGAGTTTGAACTCCTGATTTTTAGCGAAACAACTTGACAGAAAGATTGTATTTATAACTTCCTGGTGAAAATTGTAATGTTTGATTTTCCTAACAAGATTGAAATGAATATATTTACTTAGATTGGTAATTGAAATTAATATCCCTTATATATATGTATTACAGAGCCAAGATCAGTAATATTGAGGCAACTGAAGAAGCTAAACAGAAACTACTGACTGAGAGAATGAGGAAGAGAGAAAAGGAGATATCAGACTTTGTCCCTACAAATATGGCTGCCAACTTTGTCCAACATAACAGATGTATGACAATTTACGTACTACATTTGTGTATTTGTTTAATGCAAACTTCTGAGATCTTGATTTTCAGTGAAATGTTTTCTGTTGATATTTCAATACGTTTGTTATGTTTTCTTTGTTAGTTTGATGTATGATTCTCTACTGGAAATGTGATGTGTGGAATCTAGATTGATCTTTTGTAGATGAAATATAGCAGTTGCTAAACTGTTATGAAATAATGATGGAATCCTGCAGTTTGTTTGATGCTTTGGATTATGTGCAAATTTCTTTGACATATACAGTTGAACTTTAATGATTCAAATTCAGAAAACATGAATAACTTGCTTAACATGAAGTACTTTGTCAGTCCTGCCAAAATTCTATTTCATAGTAAAAAAAGACCTGAAAAACGTGGAAAACTCAAAAACCTGTAATAATTTGAAGTAAAAATTCGGTCCGAAAATCAAAATCTTACTTAAAGGTACCTATAAACCAAAGTTTTAAATTTTATCCATAAATAACACATAGGTCAAAAACATGGTTATTGTAAAACACCCTATGTGTGGTTATGACTGTTAATAAAAACATACCACATGAGGTCGTTACAAAGGATATGATGTATGAGAAGGTTACAAATATACATACACCTCGGTGTCATTTGTAACAAAACCCTAGGTTCACACTAAGAATCACATTTCATTGATATTGTTGATAAACAGTAATATGGTACTTATAATAAAAAGCCATTTATGTAACACTCAAAGCTCACAACAATCTTACTTGGAAATATTGGTCACAATACACACTGATGCTTTAGTTACCTACACAACTGAAATCACAACTTTGGTGTGTTGGTTTTCATTAATTGTCAGGTTTTATGTCCACCTTTACAGCCTTTTACATTTTATCAATGACTTTTATTGATTTTGTGCTCATTTGTTATCTTCCACTACATGGACACTCATATACAGTGTCTTTGTGTTGGATGTGTACTTGTGCACTTTTACTTCTGGTCAGAATCTTCCATCTGTTTACAGCGATATCTAAGCTTATAATTGCTCATAAGTTTTGTGATATGTGTTAATACACCTATCTCAAGATACCAGTTACTGTATGTGATGCCAAATTTTGATATGTATCCAACACATGTGTATGCTTAAAAGGTTCAACTTATTTATGGTTGAGTGCATAATGATATTTAGTGAAGCACACATGATAATGTTTACTTTTTGTACAATTTCTGATATTTTTGAGGTATTATTGAACAGTTTACCACATCTCTGTTAAATGGTTGAAAAAAAATATCAGTGCATTTTTTGAGTTTGATAAAGATTAACGAATGTTTAGGTGCATTTAGAGTATCCTGATATAGATAAACAAACAAATTAATACAATACACAAGGATTTATCGTTTTATGATACAAAACGATATATCACTGAAGTCTTTTTATAAGAGGAAGAACTTGATACATAATTTGATATTTGTATATGTTTTCAGTTAAAGTAGAAGATACAAAGCCACTTCTCAAGAAAGAAGAAGCACCCCGCCCTGAGCCTGTCAGAGTTGGAGACGTAGAGAGACTTCAGACCCCAGCAGGTGAGTTCACCTGTGAAATTTTTCATAATGTGATAATTACAATACTTTCTACATTATTTGTTTTTAATCTATAATTTATTTCCAGATATATCAGCAATTTCATTTGAAGATGTATTTTGATTTCGTAGCTGAAGCCTTTTAGGTGGAAATTTAGTCCATCATTATACAAATTTGACACAGGCTAGGTACTAAATGTTTGTCTCTCCAAATGAAAGTTTACATAAGTGATGGTTAGCAAACTTGCACCTTGTGTGTCCTTGAGTATGGTTCACTTCTTGGGAAAGCTGATGATAACTTTTATATATTTTTGAAATATGGCAAAATCTCACATAGAAATGATTTCATTCATGATTTATATTTAAGTGTAAAAGAGTTGGTTATGCACACAGTACGTTAGTGTTTAAAGAATTACAAAATTGACAAGCAAGTGATAAGTAATGAAAGAAAAGAGGCCTCCCCTTGATAAGTATGAAAGCAATGTACTTGAATTTTTCATTCTGTATTAACTTTATTTCTTTCAGTTTCGATGTAAATATTCATACTGTAAATCACTTAAATTTCTCAGATACTTTATTTGGTGAACATACCTCTTCAGACAAATTTGCAAATACATGCTCTTGTGAACAGTGGTCTAGAAATGACTTTAAATTCACAAATGATGGGCTATTAGATATATGGACTCCATTATCAGCAATCAAATCAGTTTGGATGTAATCATGAATTATTTCTGTACAAATAAAAGGTGTTGTGAGGGATTTGAATTCGTGATTGACATTTCTTGTGTATTATTGCGAAAATAAATCCCTCACAAAATATAAGTGATTAACAGTATCAGTCAGTCCTTCTTGTTGTTTTCAGGTGCTGATGGAAAGTCAAAAACAGATGAAAAAGCCACAGATGATTTTTACTTTGAAAAATTCAAGAAACAGATGAGAAGATACTGACATTGATCAAATATAATCTTTCAGGTTAATGTAAGATGATGTTTGTATTATGAAAATCTGTCACTGGGTCTGCCTCAGATTCTGTAAAAATCTGTCACTGGGTCTGCCTCAGATTCTGTCTATAAACAAGGTTATTAGTACAAGAATAACAAATTCAGTAACTGATTACACTGTACAATGGCCATTGTGACCTTCAGATTCACAAATAATGACCTTAGTGACCACAGACAGGATACTGGTGCTGTGTCAGTACTGGACATCCTGCAAGCCCCAATAAGTATGTTGGTTATTGATTCTGACTAGCAACAGTTGATACTGAGATGGAATCAATGTTGATATCAGTGATAAAGATTTGTTGGTTCATTTGTTTGCTGTGTTAATTGCCTTGTGAACAGCTAGGGTCATGTGGAGGCTGGTAGTAACTGGTTGCTAGCTGACTTAACAACATACAGGAGGCCAGTCGCTTGCCATCCAGAGCAAAAACAATAAGTTTTCTTGCTCAAGAACACATGTCATCACAGACAATGAAAAAAATAAATAAAGAAAAACAAACTGGATAATTTTTTTGTAAGAATTTTTTAAATATTTAATACAAGTCTAACTTAATGTTGATAATGGTGGGCTATAGCATATGCTGTACATACTATTCTGGTGGAGAAGGTAGGGTATACATTTCTACAATATTGCGATACTGATATCCATTTACAACCCTCTATCCACACAGTTTACTGTCTACGTGAATAGTGACTACGCAGAGCGATTATTTTAAGGTCAACATCCCTCTGTATCTATATATAGTTAGGAATATGTGCTATCACACAGTGTGATCACGTGATTCAGATTGTAAGTGAAACAAGAATAGAGCAGTTTTGAACTACCACAAGACTAGAAAAAGATTGTTTTCATTGAAAAGCATGAGTTTAAACTACCCACCTATTCAAACTCACGGAAGGTTTACTGTTAACATACTATATATATACATGAATACAAATCTATACTAATAATATTAAGGACTATAACAAATGTAATTACTTATAAATGTTTGTATACCTCTCTGGTCATACAAAAAACAAAATAGGCAACCATATCAGAGATAAACACTATTCCTCTTTCTCTACACTTAGCTGGGTAACATTACTTCATATAAGCTGGGTAACATTACTTCATATAAGCTGGGTAACATTATTTCATATAAGCTGGGTAACATTACTTCATATTGCCTTTTTACTGAGGAATATTTGGTAGATTTAGTCAGTGTCAATCTTCCTTTTTTCTCTGTATTTGAAAGTTTCATGCTAGAGAAGTGTGGGAGCCCTTCAGAATAAGTATCTTGTGGTTATTTACAAAAGATGGAAGGTAGACACAGCTTCATGATGCAACTTAATGTGAATGAATGAATTAATTAATGAAAGAATGGTCACTTTAAGATTAGAAATGAGTAAACTATATGTACAATGCAAAGAGAAATGAATGAATGAAAGAATGGTGGAGAAAGAGTTGAACATTTGATGAAATGGACCACTGATTGAATATGGGCATCAAGCTACAGTGGATTATTCATAATGAATAAATACATTTGAGATATTTGTGTTGATGTTTATGGTATGTTAAATTAAAAAAGAATTACTTCTGTTTTTTCCCTTCTGTGAAATGATTGTGCAATAGTACAGATTCTCATATCATCAATTTTAGTGAAAGAAAGTTATTTCTCAGTTTTCCTGTTTTTGATAGTTGATTAAGCTACGGACCAGTAAAAGTTATATTTGTCTTCTCTCATTACTGTACACATCTGTCACGCCCCTTCTAAAAGACATGAAATCATATACATGTATACTGTACCGACCAAATAGGAATTATTTTCAGGAAATGGTAAGAGATAGCATACACACAAGTGAATATAGCACCTTTCAATATGAATTTATAACTAGAGGTATCGTAATTAATCATACATTTGTTTCGTCTTTGAAAGACTGGTCAGTGATGATAAGGGTCTATAGTTTAAAACCCAGGAGGAGATTGAGAAAAGTCAAAATTTATGTGTCAATAAAAGTCAAAGAATTAACGTCTAGTACAATAGTATATTCTGAACTGTGAACTTAAATTAAAATGTGGCATGTAAGTTACAACAAACCTTGAGGACAAAAAAGTTTTTAATAAAGAAAATTAATGTAAAATTACCCGAACTGAGATATACAATGTGTGCTCCTGATCTTGACACACCTTCAGGACTTTGTTTCTCTCTAATGTAAATGAAGAGATTTTGAAGGGGATGTGAATCAACACAAATATTAAGGAAACTGACTTTTTCACTTTTTTAAGCTTTTATAAAGATTATTCTAATGAGAGGAGATTTTATGATTTTTGGCCCCTCATTATAAATGTTGGGTATTATCATAGTTCAGAGAGGAATATACATGTACAATCAAATTGAAACTATTTCACAGCCAATAGTGCATGGGATCATGTATACTTTTTCAGCTGAACAAACAACTTTAAAAGATCCACACATGACACAAATTTTAGAAAACCTTGGTTGAAATGAAAGTGACAGTAACTGTCTGGGACTATGTGAACTTTTCAAACCAATATTTTAGATTCAATGTTTCTAGCACTCTCTGCGGTAATGTGAATGGATGAAATGCAAATTGTTTTAACATATAGTTAAACATGTGCAAATACTATTTCCTAGTGCCTATGAAGGTTGACATATTTGATGCTTGTTAGTATGCCTGGTTTGGCTCCATTTTTGTTTTACCTTGTTCTTATTTGGGATCTTGATATTACTCGCATTTGCATGCGGTTGTGATGAAGCAGAATATGCTTACCATTCTAGAACATGAAGTTTTCTGGTATTTCATCAAGGCATTTTCTTCAAATATTTCTTTTTTTTTTATACTTTGCCCATATTTCATTAAATTTGTGTTTGATTTAAGCTCCTGTTGTTTTAACAAGAGATTCCAGAGGGATCTTGGTGCCCACCGTTGTTTGATCTTTATATGCTCCTTGAAAGTTGGATCTTTTTCCCTTCTTTTCTCTTCTCAATTTTGCTTTCAGTGATAAGACATTTGAACATTCCTTTGCAAAAATAAATGATAATCTTTACCTACCAAATCCAAATTGGCCACCTGGGAGTCATTTTCTTTCTACTGTTCAGTCCCGAAAGCAAACAAACACAAGGAGAGATCAAAGGGATTATACATATGAAATTTAAGAGATATCCATTCAGTACTTCAGAAACAGCCTGTCAGCCATTTTGTTTTTCTGATCAGTCACAAACTCAAATAGGTACAACTAAGGACCTAAAGAATGACATGAAATTTGTGAGAGATCCATCAAGTACGTCTTAAGAAATAGCAAGAACAAACTTGCAAAAAGTCATAATCTAAGATGGCCACCTTTTGGCCAGTTTGTTTTTCTGATTGGTTCCAAAATTACATGGGCACAACAAGAGATCAAAAGGAACCTAGATATGAAATTTAAGAAAGATCTGTCAAGTACTTCTCAAGAAATAGCAATAACAAACTTTCAAAGTCAAAATCCAAGATGGCCACCTTTCAGCCATTTTGTTTTGCAGATAAGTTCCAAAATTACATGGGCACAACTAAGGACAATGGGGAACTTACACATGAAATTTATAGAGAGTAAAACAAAAGTGTAGATGATATGATGTAGCCGTTTAAAATTCCAAATCATTTCATGTTTATTTTTAGAAACAGTATACATTGTATCTGCAAAAATCATTGAAATCATTGGAATATGACAACTATGTAAACTAATGTGTTTTATCAATCAAATATTGATAAAGATTTAATAAGAATGAAGAGGAAAGCATACTTCGAGTGTAAACACACAATACATGTATATCTGAACAAATATTAAAATCCTGTTCCATCATACTCAAAGACAGCAAAGAAAAAAACACAAGATTAAGTCAATGTTGTATATTTTTATTCTTATTTTTTTAAGTTTTAATTGAATGTTTGAAGCAATCAAATAAAAAATAAAAACAAGTTATTTAAAATGTTTGTACATGGATTTTGTTTAAAGTTTATTTACAAGTAACATTTATCAACTGAACAAGTTGAATATTAATAAATAGGAATAATCATTTGATTGAATACCATGGTGCGTACACAGTCATTACGATAACCTTCAGTTCCTACATCATTTAGCAGTACTGCAATAAACATTTTTATCATATATGGCAATATTTAGATAATTCTTCTCACCATATTTTATATATACCATATATGGTAGCACTGAACATAAGGTGACGTAAAAATAAGCGTGAATTATAAAAGTTGTGGTACTCGTAACCATAACGATATCTACAGCCAATTAATATATAACATTACCATATATGGTAAATTGTTCTTCGATCGTGACCGTATTTGGTAGACAACTATTGCGGCTCATTCATATCTTTCATCGTAGATACCCTTGAATTTTGAGATACACTGAATTCAATTGATTCAACAAATTTAGCAGAATTTTTTCCAACAAAGTTTGAATATAATGTTAATATGGTAAATATCAGAAAATTTGCTAATTATTAATCTACAATATCTAAACAAATCAAGAATAATATCAACATTCAAGGATATCTATGGTAACATCGTATATCTCATAAGTACTCTCAAACAAATCACAGTTTTGGAAGATTGAAGCAAACAAATTGTACAGCTATATTATGACATACATACAAACATAGCAGCAGTACTACTTTGTTATGTGCTTGCAAAAGTCATCTAACAGGATGGCATAAGCTGGAAGGAAAAGGACAATAAAAAGTCAGGTAAAAGGGAGGAGTTGATTGGTGGTAAACACTACTACACTTAGGGTACACTAGTGCTGATTGGTGGAGATGATAAGGGCGATGAAATCTTAGGGTTTTTTCTATAATAAAACACTAGAAGTGAACCTACTTTTTTCTTTTTACATAATATTGATCTTAACAGTTTGAAAACCAACACAAAAATTTCTTTGAAAACTAATGAGGGCAGCACCATATGCTAAACGAATGAAATCAAATTGCTTTCATCTTTCATATTGGTCATGGATCATTTCAAGTATGATGAATCCTTTCTAAGGTCTGGGGTTATGAGTCTTATCTCGGACATTTTCTACATAATAGCACACACCAAGTATCCTACATCACAAAACCTTTTATTCAACATCATCTGGGCTTGGTGAATTTATAAGTTCTTAAATTTGTTTCATAAATCTTCTAGGAAATCCAGGAAGATGAAAGAATATCTTATCACATAAATTATATAATTTTCTTTAGCAGAACAGCATTTTTAGACACAAATCCTAAATTGAAGATTAGCACCCACATGTTTTTATTTGGTAACGTCAAAAGAACATGATGCCATAAAGTAATGACGTCACAATTAAATAATAGAATCTTCAGCTGATCACAGCTCTGCCAGGTGTTATCATATCAGTATGTGTAGACATACCAAAATCCATGCAGTGGGTGTTTCTACACTGATAAATGGGTAGGTAGATATTAAATGAATCTATTTTATTAATATTGAAAGTAATTTAACAAATATGAGGTTATTCTTTAATATCCATGTAGAACTTAAATGTTATGTTCCCAGTGAGAGGCGATATATTTCTCCAAGAAAAAAGAAATGTAATAATATTTTTGAGTGTGCCACTAGTTTACTAAACCTTGGTGCTTTTTTGGTCAGAAATCAACTTTGGTGTCAAAATACAGACAATGACATTATGCCATGAATTGAAAATAGCACAACAAGATGGATGCCTCGTTTTGATTTTATCCTCCACATTTTTACACTGAACAAGTTGACTTTTCTGAATTATGTGATAAAAAGTATCATAATCATCAACTGCTTTTCATTTCTTTTTCTAAGTATTCATTTAGGCTCAAAATTTGTTTAAAAAACCTGTCTAAGTCTTGTTTCATAAAAACTCATTTAAGATACTATACAAATCTCTTTTTTTACTGTTTGTTTAGAATTTTGCTTCAAAGTGAAATCATTTGCTAAAGTTATGGTCTTTAGGTCTAATGAATCAACTATGTCACCACAATGCGATTATTCTCATATACACCAGCTTAATATCATATCAGAGATAAATGTTTTTTCCCAGAACTTTTACTGTTGAGCATCACTTGACATCTTTGGCATTAAATATTGCAGCCCATTCTTCATACGACGAAATCTTTGGCGCAATCACAGCCAAATGTATACATTAAATAAACCTGAAATTAAAATGAACTAAAATCTAAATTGGTGGCCTATATAAAAGATTTTAGAGAGAAAAAAAAAAAAGAGAAAAAATTGTGAGATAGGTAACTTTCTATTATTCTGATATCAACATAGTACATACTAGTTTTAAAATTAGTGTCATGAAAAATGGCTGCAGGGAAATCTATGGGAGAGATGTGCAGTAAAGAATCTATCTGGATTTAAATTGTACAATCAACTAACACTTCATGATGGGTAAAAGATTAAAATGAAATTATGGAACATTATTTTGATATTGTTGGTAAAATGAATAATAAACACTTTGTCCTAAACATTGTTGACCTACACAAGTGGATTTAGTGCCTAAT